CTTCTCTGTATCGTTCCAATTTTTTCGTATGTCACCCCGAAGGGGACATAGTTAACAGCAGAAAGAATGAGTGCACGTGAACCGTTTTGCTTTTTGTGCAGCTCGCGGGTTCTCGCCTCCCGTGACCACTGTCCCGTTTCCGCCCGGGGCGTGACGTCATCGGTACTACACTGTATCGAAGGGCACTCGCATTTTTGCAATTACTTTTCCACCCTACGCCTCCGGTCGACGACATGTACGAAAACGTAATGGTCGCATTCCCGCTCTCGTCCACATACATAACGACGCCTGCCAGTTGCTCGTCACGATAGGAGACTAGGAGCGATATCTTAATCGCTGGACCAGGAGACGTATGTGACTACTATAAGTATCTCCTGGTATGGTGATGCGGCTAGAGTTCATGTCGTTGAGAACCGCTACACATGATGCCAAAAATATGTGGAGCGTTCGCCGCATCATCGCCACCACCAATATGAAGACTTGTTCGCATTTCAGGGGGTGGGGGCGGACACACAGCTAGCTGAATTCCATCAGGTTCAAAAATCGTAATGATACACTATCGCTCGCGTAACATATCAGAAAAGTATGGCAGTAATTTTTCCTAACAATGTTGCGGGAAGGACTTCGGGGACATCGGTCTCCTCCAGTGAAGGTATAGCCTGCCGAATATATTTAGCGATCGATTCAAACAATCTGGATCGGAACATGCTACTCACCGTCACAAAATCCATCTGATTCGCCTTCCAGGCTTTTGTTCGCTTGAAGATCTTCCAAAACGCGTACAATCCCAAGAAAATGGGAATATTGACATCTGCATTAGATTGTCAAGTAATCAGTCGAGTTGTGTAACTGCAGGTGCACATACAGTCTGTGAAGAACGCGGTCGCAGTGAAGCCCCAGAAGACTTCGAAACCGTTGACAAGGATAAAGAAGCTGAGCCAGAAGATGGCCCACCACGCCGCGAAAGGCTGCAGTCGGCTCCAGTAGGCAAATTTGCTGCGATCAAAGCCTTGAACGTGTAGGCCCTTGTCTATGAATTAGAGTCAGGATCAAAATACTTACACCAATTACATCAGGCGACCACATACAGAAGCGCAAGTATGTAACATTCATTGCGCCCCAACTGAAGAATGATCCAGTGGTTGACAGATTCACGAGCCACCTGAACAAATATTGAATCCCCATTCGCACTCCAAACTATCGATGGCTCACGTGAAAACCGTGTCTGCCCCCGCAGAAATACTCATCAATGACAGCCACGTAAAACACCCCGAGACGAGGATGGACACAAGTGGCAGCCCTTTTTTGGTACAGTGCGCCAGGAACTTCGGAGCCTGCCCGCGGAGAGCTAGCCCATATAAAATACGTGACGCTGAGAAAAGGCTCGTATTCGCAGCAGAGAACGCAGAGGTGAATATGCATGCGTTAATATAACTAGGCAGCACACTGATGCCCGCGCGCTGCATGGCGATGACATAGGGCGACTGCGCAGCCGTTCCGGTGTCAGCGAGTAGGGCAGGATCGTTGTAGGGTACGAGCATGCCCGTGATGATGATGCCAAGGATCTACCATGTGCAGATGCCTCAGCATTTCGGTCTACTTATGCGCGGAAGGGTGACTTGGGACGAACGTAGAAGATGAGAATACGCCAGAACACCCTCCGGACAGCCTTTCCTATGTTCCTACGAGGGTTTTCGGTCTCCGAGGCAGCACTGACGGAGTTGCATTACTGACAAGTAAGCGACTGAGACTAGCAAAGACGCACACAGCAATGAGTTCCATTCCTCCGAAGGAGAATGCAGCTTGTACAATAACGGACAGAACACCCAGAAATTTGTCGAGATGAGGATGTTTCGGCTCTAGGCCAGCACCTGTCAGTGTGCCTGGATTCTTCCAATACTATGTACAATAGAATCAAACACCGCAGGAGGTAAAGTTGTGGTGGAGCATACACGGAAACCGATCCGCTCGTGGTCAGGTCCCCCGCCAAGATCGATAATCAGGCCAGCAAGGATGAGAAGGGTGATCAAGCTGACTGAGTACGCGTCAGCATACACAGTGAGTGAACCACAAGTCAACAAGGAGACTTACTTTTGATCATCGCGAACATGAATTCTGCCTCTCCGAACCATCTCACGCCGAAGATGTTGATGGCACACACGCAGAATGTGATTGCAGTGATATACCCAGCCTGGTGCTTAATCTTTGCGCAAGCGTAAGGTGACACTCCACATTCTCGAATCCAAATACTCACATTCGCGTCCCAGTAGGTCAAGAGGATTCCCGCAGCGGTAATCTCTACCGGAGCTGAAATGGCACTAGTGTAGAAGTAATTCCACCTACGCAGGCGCCGTTTCAGTTCAAGAGCATACTCGGCAGACACGTTACGTACCCGAGTGCAAATCCAAACGCAGGATCGACCCAGCGGGCAGCATAATGAGGGAACGATCCGGAGATAGGCGCGAACGAAGCCATCTCGCCGAGGCTGCAGAGCGTCCCGTAGGCAACAGTGCCTACCAGGGCGTATGCAATCAGAGCACCGAGCGGCCCGGCCCCTCGCAACACATGGCCCGAGCCAAGGAACAGGCCCGTACCCATCGTACCCGCGATCTGGACATGGACAGAAACATCCCACCTGTTCAGCGCTCCAAATGTTCCACGCGTACAGCTACTCACCGCAATCATTTGGACGTGGCGCTGCTTCAGCCTCCTCTGCACACGGTCGAGGTCTTTCACGTCGAAGTGATGTTGCGCGTCAGCCTGGACAACTAACACATCGACCTCGCCTTTCTCCGCCGAGCTGTCGTCGTCCTGCCTGCCCGTGTCGGGCTTCTCGTCGAATGCGGGGCTATTGTCATACTGCTCCATCGTCGGGGCTCGTGAGACTGGGGTGGAAGACAAGGTCAGATACACAAGGCGAGACTATCAAGAACTTTATACACCTGGGGCCCCCAATCGTGCCTACAAAGTAGGAGCAAGATAGTGAGATATGGCTTCTCCGTGTCCACACGTGGATGTGTCTCGTCATCGGCCTACAGCGGCGGCACGCATGCAATAGCACCTACTGAGTTAGCCATAGTGGAACGTAATGAAATCAGTTGTGCGAAGGCTGGCGTAGGGAGCAGGTAACCTCATCGACTTAGCTCCATCGCAGTATCAAGGCCTAAATGTCTATTCAATCAGTCACAGTGGGATAGATGGGGCCTTTTATAGAGTGGGATAGATGCAGAACAGGATGCTTCGCAGCACCCACGTCTTCACAAAATAGTGCCATAAACCATGTCACGCATCGTGTCAAGAAGTTGCCAAGGTTGGGAGGTCGCTCCTGCGTATTCGCTTGTTTATCTGCTGGTCATTGTCCTATCAGACGCTCGTGCAATCGACCAACATTCTTCCGTCCCAACCTAGGCCGGGGATTCCGAGGCGGAAGTCATCAGCCATGAAGCGCAAATCGTTGAAAGATACTCACGGACAGTTTGTCTGCAGATAAGCCCTGCAGTGATGCTGCAGTTATCGACACGTCAACCAGCGTTCGGATCTTAGGTCAACCAAGTACAAGCTCATATTACAGTCTCTTCGACACTCACTTGGGTCTTCTCGAAACCATTTACACATTCTAATGTGCTTTACCAGATGATTTTCAAGGACAAACGATCCATAGCGTGAGTTACTATCTCTGATTCACTATGCGGTATCAAGGACACTCGTTAGCCTTCAAGTTGTCAATATCACTTACTACTTTTATTCAGGTTGATACGCTTTGTTACATAATACGAAAGGGCGTCATACCAACACCTTGAATGGGCGAATTGGCCGACAGAGTCATTTGAACTTTTAGAGCTTTGCGCAGACAGAGTAATAGCTCGCAGATAAGCGAAGCAGGTGGAACATATATGTATAAACACTGTGCCTCTTGAATCTTGAGATGTATCTATGGTTTCGAGTTCGGAGCCAGTGCCATCCTCCGCAATAATGCTCGCTGGACATCCTCCCCTGGATCGCATTTCGCGAGCTTGTCATAGTCATACCATACCAAGATAGAATCGCCTTCGGTGACTATGCGCCTTTGCGCATATGAGTATACCGCGCCTTTTAGGTAGAAATGGGTCTTCGCTAGTCTCTTTTCCTTCTCTTCGGTGCCGTTACCGTGTGAATTGGGGGCTATGAGGCCGGTATGAGGACGATGGCCGATGAGGAGCGTGTCGGGATAGACGACAGGTCGCTTGAAATCGGCGGAGACCGACTTTATAATGAGGGAAACTCCCTTGCCTGTGAGCATGTTGTTTGCTCGCGACTCCCCGCCGAGTTCGTGGGCTAGTGAAACGATCCATTGCATGCGTGATGATTCAAGGAAACGAACTATGATGAAGGTATATTATGCTTTTCAATAACGAAGCGTGGGTACGAAACTTACGATACCGCACGTTGTTGACATGTCTGAACGGTCTTATTAATAGTGCAATTAAACATGATCGTCCCAACGTACTGAAAGGCATCGTGGTCTCCCCACACGATCCGCTGCTCCCAGAAGCTGGTTGGATCATATCCCAACGCTATTAGTGTCTCCCTAGCTTCTTCTGCCGGATCCAGCACATCTACGGGGGGATCCGGCGATGCAGGTCCTTGAGAGCCCGGAGGTATGTGGAATGGAGAAGAAGGGTCGCGGAATGCATCTTGCAAAGACTGTTAAGACGCGGCAGAGCAAGCGGAACAAGTTAATCCATTAAGTATAGCAATAGTCGGACATCGTCGTAAAGCACTTAAGACTAACGAGAATAGACGAGTGGCTCTTTCGCGCCAACCATGCGGCAGACTGATGTGCCAAGCTACCTCTGCGCAGAAATGAGGTCCCAAGACTGCAACGTATGGCCCGCATCGACATCAGCAGCTTCAAAGTCGACCAAAAAGCAAGAAACAGATGGAGTTGGGAGGTCCGAGGCTTGAAGCTTGAAAGCTTCAACTTCAAGCAAGTACGGCAGCCACACCACGCGATCACGCGGCCTCCTCATTTGGGAAATAACATCAATTCCGTCCAGTGACGAAGTCCGGTTTCAATTTGCCACCCGAGCAATCTTGCACATGCGACCCACCTCAAGTGCGTACGGGCGGCGAACATCCGACAGACATTATGTCGTGTTCGCTGACATCCGGGCCTAATTTCTTTGTAGTAAATGCAGTGGAAAAGCGGCATTGCCAATAGAGGAGCTGACGCGGTGGATATGCCGGGCCTTACCAATGATTAAATAAATAGTGGTCTCCTTAAGCAACACCCACATTCCATCCCTATCCTTCGTTTCTTGAACCTCTTTGAACGTTGAACCGCCAACATGACTGGTGTGTACAGATACACATCTGTTTCTGGTCTTTCCTTCCATTGACGTGTTTACCGCATAGGTCTGAATGCACTTATCTTGGGTGCCACTGGGGCGACAGGCAAGCATCTGCTGCAGGAGCTGCTTGCGTCGCCTCAATACGCCAACGTGTCGGAGTACGGCCGGAGAGTGACGCCTGCTGAGCGGATCACTGCCGGGAAGGGCAAGCTAGAGCAGAAGGTCATCGACTTTGAGAAATTAGACGAGGCGGAGCTCAAGGACAAGAGGTGGGACGTCGTCTTCATTACGTGCGCACACAATACTTCACTTCCACGAACGAACCGGTTAACACCAGCTACCAATGCAGACTTGGGACGACCCACAAGCAAGCGGGAAGCGCCGCTGCATTTGAAAAGATCGACAGAGAGTTGAGTCCGCCCTCACCGGCTTGAGTCGTGTGGGTACTGACGGGGGCCATGTCAGATATGTCGTCAATGCAGCCCGTGCCGCTAAATCGGACGACCCGAACCACCCGCAGCGGCTTCTCTACCTTTCGGTCAGCGTCGTTTTTTTTTGCTGTTTTGATTGTATACTAACCCGTCAAGTAGTCCATTGGAGCCGACCCCGCCGCATCGTCACTGTATCCAAAGTGGGCCCTTCATTTCCTCCTCGAACGCGCAGTATCGTTGACTAGGTATTCCATAATGGCAGGAGCAAGGGTCTCACAGAGCGGGAGCTCGCCAAGCTTGGATACAACGACACCGTTATCTTCCGTCCCGCCGTTCTCGGCACCGAACGAGAGGATTCCCGCCCCTTGGAACACGTCGCACAGTGAGCCCTGTTCTCACCACCATCCGACCCCAGGTGAATGCTAACTCCATGTTCGTTCAGGGGGGTCTCCCGCCTCCTTTCGACGTTCTCATCGAGGATCTATATGCCTGTAAGTGTAGGACTTCGCAGACGGGATGTGCGCTGATACCGTCTTTCCGCTCGTAACGCAGGTTCCTACGCTCGCGAAGGTGATGCGGGACGTCGGTGCAGTTGGCTCGGCAAAGTTGCCCTCTGGTACCGTCCAGCAGATGGGGGATTCAGCGACTCCCTTCTCCTGCCTCAACAACAGCGCCATCCTTGCTATTGCGGACTCGTTCTCATAGTGCGCCCTCTGCATGCACATCGGTTTCGAGTCACTTGTTTCGTTGTTCTACTTTCGGTTGAGAGTTGAGTTCGTACTTTTTTTATTCTGGCAATACGGCAAGATTTGCATATTTCCTCTCGCTCGTCCAGCGGTACGAGGAGACGCGCACACGTAATCGATCTTCATGATTGAGACGAGTCGTGATGGTCCCACCATTTCCGTGCCTGCGTCACACATCTTAGGCCCGGCTCAGCCACCCGCAAGCTCCAGTACATCGCCTTGACCGTCGATTTTGATCATGTTTACATTATCTAAGACTACCGAATGACCTACATGCACACCAACATGGTATAAACTCTATTCCGCAGCGGCGAATAAATCGTGCAACCCTATGACGAGTAGTACGGGTCGCATACGCTCGCGTTATTGTATTGGGAGGGGTCTTTCGTGAGGTATCCCAGCTTGACACCTTCGATGTACGACCTACGCACACGCAAAAGCCATCAGCAGTTATTTCTAGATAGTGCTGCTGGTACTCGCCATTGTCGCGACAAGTTTCCAGCCATCTCGGACTGCTCGACTTGGAAGTTCCAGAACTACACCACGTTAGTAAGCGCATAAATCCTTCTCAAAAGCGTCAACGACACTCACGATCCACCCCGCGCCTTTGCTGTACGCCAGCTTCTGCGCGTCGGCCCACTCGTACAAGAACTCGTCCGTCGCGTTGAATTGTGTCGGGAGGCCCCACTCTCCGAACCACAGCGGAGTGTCCCCAAGCGCCGCGTCTGCCTGAACACGGTCTAAGTCTGTCACCAAATGGCTCAGTAGATGTCCTGATACGAGATTGTCGGGAACGTACTGCAAATACTCTCCAAGTACGCTTCGGGGTTGGCAGCGGCAACACCCTGCAAAACGATTATATCAGCATCGCACCACAAGCCTTAGGGATCGAGTAAAAGCTCACTCCATAGCTATAGTAAAGATGGTTGTCATATCCCTGCGGCCCGATGGCAGCGTCAGCGGGATTCGGCGGGTTATCGTACTGCCAGTTGATGTCCATGAAGCTATTGATGACGACAACACATGTCAGCGTCCGAGCAAGGCACAAGTCATGTCCGCAAGACCTACGTAGTAACGAGCGTGCTGCGCGAAGGAAGGCCCGAGGCAAGATTGGTGTCCAGGATCGCAGGCACCGCGAGCTGAATCGCAAGCTCGACGAGAATCGGGGCCGCCTCAGCAAGCGCCTCTTTCACATTCGAATTAAAGATCGTACTCGTGTTTGCGACTTGCCCGAGTGCCTCCGTGAAGTTGTTCGTGCTGATCTGCGTATCGAGTGTCATACCGGGGACGGGGATGCCTAGTGTGAGCTCGACTGCGCGAACGGTGTCGACGAAGTTCTTTTGGACTGATACCATCGACTGAGCACCCGCAGCGAACACGAAAAAAGGAAGAACACACATGTGCCATATCCAGGTGTCTCGTTGGCATCCATTATGGGCTCGTTGACAGCTTCAATAGCGAAGACAGAATCGAAGTTAGGGTCTAGGTGAGTGAGCGAAGTCATCACTGCAGTCCACACCAGCGCACGCTGGTAGTTGTAGTCAGTCTGCCAACGATGTCAATCTCGGGCGCTCGGAAAAACCACAAAATAACCTACATAAAATTCTACATTGTCTGTGCAGCTTGGCGGGAATTAGCGACTCGACTTCATGAACAGGTTCGCAAACACGCACTTTCCGGTGAACGACTGGTCGCCAGTTTGTACACCTGGCAGCGCGTGATGGTCCAAGATCGCCTGAATACCCGCGTCATTGAGCATCTTCAAGCCTTGTTGCTGCACGCATGACCCGGTGATTCGTCAGCACACCGTGTTACAGAAAGACGGACAGTGCGCCCTACGAGATATACAATGCCACCCTCTGGATAAAACTCAGTTTCCCGGTTCACAATCTGCTCGACGATCCAGAAACCAAGCTATATGCGCGTGAGCGAGCGCACAAATGCATCTAAACCCATGACGGCGTACGGGAATGCGTGCAGTGTTGATACCATCCTCAACCAGCTGGTTCACGTCCGCCTGGGTAAACCAAGTCGACCTGAGGCAACGGATTATTACAAAGAGTCGCAGTAAACATGCGTGTCCACGTACCAATGCTTGGCGAATTCTTCGTTAGCAATGTCGGGATATGTTTTGGTGTACGACCTGAAACAAGAATGATCAGATCTTAGCGCGCCCTCATGCAAGTTTCAGCCACCTACCATTCAGACATAATACACTCAGAGCAGTCGCTGCAGATCTGACCACCCATTGCTGTCCATTCTGGGTGGAGATCCATAAGCCGCGCATACATGAGCGAGCACTGCACCAAGACTCACCGGCGGGCAGCATCCATGGCTCCAGCACGAGCCTGAACGGCCTGTTATTTTTCCAGATGCACAACTGCTCACGCTACTCACCAGCCCCCAATGTTGACACCATAAATCTTGTCAGGCAGGTAACCTGCGAACGCAGTTTGTGCAAACGCAGAGAGCGCAGCAAGGCCGAGCAGGAAGTGCATGTTGGGCCGGGGGATTTCAGGCAACACGCGAGCATCCCCCAGCTTTACACGGCCGCTTTATAGGATGCATCTCAGCATCCCTATGCCGAGAATATAAGACTATTTCTGTCGTTCTTCGGGTCCACGGACCCAAAAAATGACCCAGGTCACGGTCTCGCGCGCCGGCCACGAGACAGGGAAGAACGCTCGAGATTTGTGATCTAGTGGCAAAAGGCTGATTGGGCATGGTCGGCATCAGCACCCAGGGATATGAACGCCTAGCAGGCGGGAACAGAGGTGGACACAGAGCACGTCGCGAACCCGTGACAGGCTTGCATTGTAGGTGGTTTGCTGGACAGGAGCAACCGAGAGACAGTCGTGTAACGCGAGGCAGGTCGAGGCAGGTCAGACAAGGTCAACTGACCGGCTTCCCGCTCATCGACGCGCGCGACCGCATGCAACATGCTCTCACTGCACACGGCAGCTGTCCATTCATAGCTCCCGCAAATCTGGGGGAAGAGCAGGAGAATAGCCGCAGTTTCTCCAACCGAGCTTCCAAAGGCTATCAGGATATTCAAGTTGCTCGACGACGAGGAGGCAGCAAGCCGACCAGTATATAATTACAGTTCCGGTTTGCACTATTTTGTGACAATGTGAGCATGATGGCGCCAACAGGAAAGGTTGAAACTCGGGAGAACAAGGTTGTTAGGGCAGTGGAATGGAAGTGGCAACGGCCGAACCACTCGATTGAGCGCTTGTCGAGGCCCGGTCACCGGATCCATTTGTAGATCGCAATCGTTTGCAACTACGGAGGTGGATAGTAAGTTTATCAATATAATCCTCAACTCAAAGATTGATTCTTGTGGATCCACGAACCGTATTATGAACCGGTCACTCTTACTTGGGCGAATCCAACGATCCCATACAAAAATTAAAAAAAAAACGCACTTACAAGGAGCCAGGAACAACAATACAATCACGACATTCAGACGCTTTAAACTTTGCCCACACGCGCAGAAGTCGCGATAGGCACAGGTGAAAGAAGCTCGCATCAGCTGACCTATGAAATATGAAACCCCAGGCTTACAATGTCTCTCGGACGTACTTAGGTGTGAATACAATACTTGCTCTTTACAAATACAGCACCAGACTTTATAAGAACAGAGAAACGACAGCTTTAACAGCTCGACGGCCAGAAACCGGTCCCTTAGCTTGCATGGGCTCTCAGAAGATAAAGTCGATGCATATGAGACGACACAACGGCTGACTTACGGCAACAACCGCACCAGAGTCGACAGGAACACGCCAGTGTTCCCGCAAAACGAAACGACAACAAATGCGAGATAGAAAAGTAAGCTACAATGCAGGCAGCAACTGTCTCACTCAATGATGTTCAGCTCGCGCTTCCGCGATCGTGCAAACTCGTCCTTGTACGTATTCCATATCCTGTAGACGCAGAAGATCAGCGAGGGGATGTCGCACAGTTTGTGTGCAAACGGAACGAGACACACCTCATGAGCTCTTCTATGTATAGGGTCTGAACGTGCGTGAGTTCCTCCAGCGTCGGTTTCTCGCACTTCTCTACGTGTATAGGGTTGCCGACTAAGAAAAATTCACGATTTTACCGGCGCACACGAAAGCACCACGATAAATACTCACTGACTGCGATGATACGCTTGCGATACGGCATTAGCCCCAGGTTGTCTAGGATGGCATCAAGATAAGTCTAGGGCTTATGAGCGTTGAGCAATACGGGTAAATGCGCACAATTTAGCAGCCCCCGACCGTGAAAGAGAGGAAGGGTGAACCCAAACACATTCTGGAACTTTTTCTGCAATGCATAGGTTGTTGTGCCCTTCTCGTTTGGCATTTGTTGATAGATCTGCACGGCGCAACAGCAGGCATCAGTTGACATCACGACAGTTACGAGAAACATACGTCGTTCTCCCCAAATGAGAAGACTGGCACAAGGTCAGCACTAGCATACAGGTTCAATGTACTGCATGTATGCGGGGAACGTGAGGGGACACACCCGTGTTGAATTGCCATTTTGATGAAACCCAGCCTAGACCCCAATATGCTGGCTTAGGTCAACAGATGTGACCAGCCTTGTAGGACGCACCTCTTCCTCAGTGTCAGGTCTGCCGTCCCGGGGCGAGCGCTAAGACTCTCTGCAGCACCGCCGACGACAATCGTGATCGCCTGCCCCGCGCCACGCCTCAATATGTTGCTACAGGACTTCTTGCTCACGGAACATATGCCCATCGCCAATAGTATGTCGCGGTAGAATGGCAGACGAAAGTTAGATGCGAGCGTCAAGAGGTGGGGGACAATCCCTGGGTATAATTCTGAAAAACCTGTACCTGCGAATGCGAGCCCAGATGAGTTGACGGAGCGCCAGCACGGAGCCCGCGCATACGTACTCTCAGTTCCGAACGTGCAAAGGGCACCCCTGGGCAAGAAAAATCTCTCAGAGTGACATCAGCTGTCGCTCGAGGGAGGGTAAACTCACATGCCAATGATACCTGGTCGTAACGCTCGAGATCAGGTTGCCAAAATAGAGCTTTGGGAGCAGTACTGACCGTGCGGATGATAGCCGAACACGTATGGTCGATCTGTGGGCAGGTCACACGTCTACGCTCATGGTGAATGCTCCGAACAAGCGTTCTAGAGATCCAAATCTGACCTTCAGCACGCTTCAATCCGCGCCATAACGTAACATCAAGCGTCAGTGCGCGGCCTCATCGTGTGGACGCCAAAGGACACACTCACAGTGCAGGATAGTACTCAGCAAAGTACCGCCAAAAGCGTCCCGCTCGCACCCACGGGCTGAATCTGCCGCCATGCTCCGGGCTATTGTCGATGAAGTATGCCCACACCATGTATGCGGCGAGGAATGGCCATAGTGGTGGGAAGGACCTTAACCGAAGAGAAATATGCCGCGCACAGAGGTGACGTTTAGTATCATGCACGCGATCAGGGAGCGAGGACCACGGGAGCATACGCACAGGAGTAGCAAGAACGTGAATGTACACCAGACGAAAGCCGTGGACCATAAGGCGACGGCGAGTGTCTGAAGCCGTCTCTTTCTGGGGACCTTAGAGGAGACGAAGCTGAGCAGGGACGCGTCTGGGTTAACGAAAGTCCTGCCAGGTCAGGAGAACAGGACTGACTCGATGTTGGGAGGATTGAATACGGGGACAGGGCTGCGGAGGGGCGTGCTGGTGAGGCTGGTGAGACGAGTTCTAAGGGAGGTGGCGGAGAGAGAACGAGTGGCGGAGGAGAATGCCTTGCGAGCTTCCATTTGTTCGAACGAGCTGTGCAGCAACTGCTGCCGACGGAATCCGGAGAGCCAGAATGGTGCAGGATAGAGACTGAGCGGACTAGGACAACAAGAGCGGAGGTTGATCGCAATACACGCAGGTGCGGACAAATCGAACGCAGTCCTCGACGGCGCGTGCATGGTAGGCCTCGCTTGGCCTATGGCGTCACCGTCTCGGCCCCTGGCGCAGCACCATATATACACGGAAATCGCTCTAGTCATTTTCAAGTCGATGTAAGGCACAAACTCAGAGAAACTACAAGTAACACAGCGTATCGATTCGTCATGCATATAGGTCATCATCCTGCGTCTCCTCACCGAACCCTGCATTGCCCGCCGCCGCGGGTGCACCGGGCGCAGACCCACCAGCGCCCTCCGGGAACTTGAACGTCGATCCAAACGAACGCGATTGTTGCAGGTTCTGCGAGAACATCTCGTATCGCCGGATGTCCCCATCCGATACCGACCGACGTGCAAATCTCATCGCCTCCTCGAAGTGTTCCCTATCCAAACCTACGTCAGCAGGTATAGTATAGTTAGTGCGTGAGCGTACCTTGTGATGACCGGCACTGGATCCTCCTCCTCCTCTTCGTCTTCTTCCATCTTTGCATCTTCACCAGCAGCCTCTTCCTTTTCTTTCTTCTCCCGCGCTCTCCTGATGTCTGCCTCGATGCTCTCTCGGATCGCTAGCTTCGCTGCACGCTGGCACACTTCCGTCAAATCAGCACCGGAGAACCCATGCGTGCTCTTCGATAAGAACCCGAGGTCAACGTCGGGCGCAACAGGACTCTTCCTCAATGCTGCCTTGAGAATTGCCAAACGCGACGGCTCGTCGGGCAGAGGGATGTAGATCAGCTGATCGAGACGTCCCGGTCGCAACAGCGCAGGATCAATCTGGTCTGGTCGATTCGTCGCGCCAATGATGAAGACGTTTTTCTTCACGTTCATACCATCCATCTCCGTTAAGATCTGGTTCAACACACGGTCTCCAGCTCCGCCACCGTCACCCGACGACCCGCCACGAGCCTTCGCAATAGAGTCCAATTCGTCGAAGAACATGACACAAGGGGCTGCAGCGCGAGCCTTGTCGAACACATCGCGCACATTGGCCTCAGATTCACCGAACCACATTGTGAGAAGCTCGGGACCCTGAGAACGAAAAGGTTCAAAAGCTGTACCCAACCAAGCTGTAGGAACATGTATACCTTGATACTGATGAAGTTGGCCTGCGTCTCGTTGGCAATTGCCTTCGCGAGCAGTGTCTTACCAGTACCCGGCGGGCCATAAAACAAAACACCTTTCGAAGGAGACATACCGTACTTGAGAAACTTGTCGGGATGTTCCACGGGATACTGCACAGTCTCCTGGAGCTCCTGCTTGACCTTGTCCAGACCACCAATATCCGCCCACTTGACGGTCGGCACTTCAACAACCGTCTCGCGCAGTGCAGATGGGTTTGAGGTGCCCAGTGCAAATCGGAAGTTCTCCATGGTGACGCCGAGCGAGTCGAGCACCTCTGCGTCGATTGTGTCCTCATCCAAGTCGATCAAATCCATCTTCTCGCGGATCTGCTGCATGGCTGCCTCCGAGCATAGTGATGCAAGATCAGAACCGACGTAACCGTGCGTATCAGCGGCAATCTAGAGATTGCTGCGTAAGTACTGAAGCAAGTGAGGTAGAACTACAGTACCGACCTGCTCGAGATCGACATCATCCCCTAACTTCATGTTCTTCGTGTGAATGCGGAGAATTTCGAGACGGCCGGTGGGGTCAGGAATGCCGATGTCAATTTCACGATCGAATCGTCCGAACCGTCTGAGTGCAGGATCAATAGAATTGGGCCGGTTAGTCGCGGCCATGACGACAACGTTTGAACGGGCCTTCAGGCCATCCATGAGAGTCAGTAATTGCGACACGACACGACGCTCGACTTCTCCATTCGTCTAAGCATATTTTAGATACACGCTCGAGACAGCCTTTCACGACTTGACGTACCTTTTCACGCTTCGGAGCAATAGAGTCAATTTCGTCGATGAAGATGATTGCAGGAGAGTTCTTCTCTGCCTCCTCGAACGCTTTCCGCAGATTACTTTCACTTTCTCCCGCCATTTTGCTCATAATTTCAGGACCGTTAATCAAGAAGAAGAACGCGCCTGTCTCGTTGGCCACCGCACGAGCCATTAGCGTCTTACCCGTACCAGGAGGACCATACATCAGAATGCCGCGGGGAGGCTTGATACCAATGGACTTGAAGAGCTGTGGATGGCGCAGAGGCAGCTCTACGAGCTCACGAATTTGTGCCATCTGCTTGCGGCAACCTCCGATATCATCGTATCCAACCTCGTTCAGGTTTGCTTCCTCGTCCTCACGTTTGACTGGGTCACCCTCTGCACGAAAATTGTACCGGAAGCATACTTTGCAATAGAGACGCGCAACTCACCTGTATGAATGACTGTGTCTTGCGCGACAATACAGTACTCCGCTGGATCAGTCTCGATGACTTTAAACTCCACCGTCCTCATGCCACCGCGGACGAGGAAAGTGTCACCCTTCCGGACCGGCCGATATGCTTGGCACGACAATCAGCAAGACTATCGGGCTCACATCTATCTGCACATACCCTCCAAAAAGTACGGCTTGAGGTAAACATCGAAAATGTTGCCGCTGAGGCCCTCGATCGAGTCGTCGAAAGGGAGAATATGGACACGTTTGCCGTATTTGATATCTAGACATGGGTGTACGTTGACCATGTCGCCGAGCTTGACACGCAAGTTGTTACGAGCAACCTTGTTCATTTGGATCTTGCCCTCTTCTACGTCGTCGGAGCTGAGGCAAATGAGGACGGTATCATGGCGCTTCTTGCCTCTGTGAATCGAGCATTAATACCGACTAGCACTGGATATGCACCCGTGCAAGAGGTACATGCGAACCAGAGGTGGATACACCATGGGCACATACCTCACAATGATAGTGTCTCCGCGAAAGAGTTGGAGAGTCTCCATTGTGGCGGGGTTGAGAGTTGCAACTGCGGATTGTTACTGAGCATTTCTTTGAAAGCATCCGCCGCAAAGATACCCACCAGAGTTATCATCAGACGACGCTTCATCGACAATAAGACGGTTAGGACTGCAATATATTCAGCAAGGGCTGATCTCTATACATGACGCGTCCATAGCACATACGATTTCTTTGGCCTCAGGATGGCTGTTGAGATATCATTTGGACCAGGTCCTGGCGCTGCACCACTGGGATCGGCCATCGTTCAAAAATGCGTGACAGAAATGAAAGAGAGAAAGATTGTAGTTGTGCAGGAGGGAGGCCGTTATAAGGACTGCTCAGAGCGACGCGCGTCCTGCGTTCTGTCAGACTTGCACGACCGGAGGCCGTGGGTAAATCGGAGGTCTCCCGGACGTCTCAGATATTCCAGCTAATTCTAGAAGGATATGCCACAAAATAGGAAGGTCCTCCTCCAAGTAAGTTAGCCTCATCCGCCCGGGCTTGTATCCACTGCGTAGACCGCTTGCAGTTCTGCCCCACAATGATCCACATAGATCGTTCATTTCTACTCTGCAGCCTGCATCGCAAATGTAATGCTGATGGTGATTTTTCTCCCTGACTAGTTCCTAGCAAGCTGCCTCGAGTATCGGTCGAACCGGGGATCATTCGGACCGCTCATGTTACATCGGCCCCATCCCAGTAATTAGTACGATTAGGCAGTACGATGCCATAGTCATTCTGCCAAATCAGTGCAGAGAAATCCTTGCACTCACAGACAGGCTTACGAGGCGTACCCCTACCGCAGCAACTTGACATCGCCATATCATGCAAATTAGTTCCTTCAGGGTTCGGACTTAAGATACATCTCAGAAACTGTGGATCAACTTTTGAAGACCTCTGCCAGTGGGGGTCTCATCATAAGAGGCCTAAAACATCCTTGACCTGTTGAAATGGGCTGCTCGCGACTGTGAGCCAACAGGGTACATACTTGCATACATTGTGGGAAGGGACCTGGAGCAAAAGGCAGCGCAATGGTTCTCTACCGAGATGGCATTGTATTATAGCCGAAGTAGACCTACAATATCATATGGCTGCCGGTTCATATTTCTTCATCGTCAAAGTTGATCTCTTCTACTGGAAAGTCTCCGATCTTGAGTCTGTCCGGTCGTACGAACACGCCAAAGTTTTGGCGACAAGTGAAGTATCGCTCCCCTTGGACTCTGCAATCAGATACAATCAGCCTCGAGGTCACATCATCTGCGGGCGCACTTACGAGCCATCGTTCTTTCCGATCGGCTCGTCATACTCGACGCCAACCCATGTACCAGACTTGGCGAATTTTGTAGGCCCAACAAAACGCACCGTCCCTCTCTTATGGAAGCCCTCTTCGCTGGTTTCCACCTCACAGCGAGACCCAATTGATATGTTCACCTCGGGGACCGGGGTACTGGCACTCTCTTCGTTATCCGCAAAACGCCCAATCTTATGGCGTTGTTTGTATGCTAAGACGGTGTCTGTCCTCATTCCATGTAAAATCGACTCCAGCAAGTTGAGCAAGACAAATGTACCTCGGCGCTGCGCGTATGCCTCTTCGCTCAATTCAAATTTCTCAACTTGCGAGACATCACTTAGTTGACCCGTGAAAGAAGTCGATGGGTTAAGATCCGTGACCTAGAACTTCGTAACGATATATACAGTCCAAAAAAATCCATATAACGCGTACCTTTAGCACTTGCCCGTCCTGCATCCCATAGAACCCAAGCGCTCTGTTCTCATCTTCAAGCACTGCGAGAATATTCGAGTCGTTCTCGGCGTTATGGACTGATATTGACTGATTAGGTACTGGGATCCCAGTGATGAGTTCGAGCTTATTCTACACATACGCATCTTAGTGGATTTGTTCGTTACTGTAGGCGATCCAACGTACTTTCAGCTGCTGTACAGTGATATGTAAATCGAAACGTCGCTCGGAACGCGTATCAGGGGAGACCACGAAGACATTGACAGTGCTGGACATAGTGCCGTTAACAAGCAGTCGGGACATCCACGAGCCTCGAGGCCAAGCATAAAGATCTCTTCCTTCTCGGGCATTGCTGATCATGATATTACTCACATAGGTCCTGGTGCACGCATTTTACAAGAAAATCGAAAGAAAAATGCAACAACGGTGCTCGCACTCCTGACACTATGCTTGGCTGGGGGTCGAATGCAGGAGGGGTTCGCGGGCTGACGCGACGCGCGCGTACAAGCTGATTATGGCTGAAAGCGGATCCCTACGGTCCTGAGACCGTGCTCTGTCATTCGAGCTACTTGATCAACTGAATCGGGTTGTACACGAACTCGTTTAATTTCTGACTGAAAACCGGACAACATGATAGGGTATAAGTAACGGCCACGAATCGCCCACCAGAACCCATACATATAGATACATTAATGAACGGACGGTTCTTCTCGACAATCCAACCCGGCAGTCATCTCAATTCAATCAACATCCCATGGTGATGCCATTATACGGACCGTCGTGGTCACTGAGGTCGCCATCATAAACTTCCGGAACATCGCCAACAATGCACTGGGTGCTCGGGTTGTCCTGGCCGGGACACGCCGCCCACTCGCCGGAGTCCTCGATGTGTACCTCACCGGCGGGGTGTACGTAGCCGAGGAACATGCCTGGGCAGATCGGAATCGGGTCTTCCTCGTTGTTGATGTGCGTTACCGAGATCGGCTGCGCATCGACGTAGTTCGCGAATGCCTGGTTCCCAACCTGCGTTGGGCATCAGCGTACCACTCAGAGGCTCCAAATTGCGGGACGTAAACTCACACGAGGAAGACCGTATCCATAAAACGCAAATGTAGCATCAGGTATGTGCAGCGGAAGGTAGACAGCATCGAGGAGTGAGATTGCAGCCCCTGGCATACACCAAGTTAGACGAGACTGTAGCTGGAAACGACGGTAATGCATACCAAGAGAGTGTCCAACCACTGTGACAGTGCTAGTACTATAAGTAGACATGGTAGTCTGTACAGCAGACAAAACATCCGTGGCCGTTCTAAGGGACAATAAGTTTGGCTTGCGGAAATCTTCGACGTGTACTCACTGCGCTTGATCGTCCGAGAATCCCTGATGGACTTGGATGCCCTGAGCCGACAAACCTGGGAAAAGTGTCGAGTCTGGGTCAACCAGCGTAATGTCTACATCCGTGACTAGCGGCAAGCTGTTCACGCCGGCGGTTAGAATATGCAAGATGTGAAATTCAAACAACACACATTTCTTCAGGATCTGTCCCCTGGTGCGAGACAATCACTGTGTCTAGCGTGGGATCGTACCCAACAAACCCTGTAGGGCGTCACCTGTCAGCAAGGCAGCCTCCACTAGATCGACGGCTGAACACTCACAGTACTGTGTGCCGTCTCCATTGCCGCCAGACGCAACAGGCTTGAAGCTCGGGTTGGCTTCACAGTTCGTGCCGCAAGACCAGTTTATAGTCTCAGACGCCGAACAGTACCCTGCACTCGCATACCATGTGTAGGGGGTAAATGCCGAGATCTGAGAGGAAGAGAGCGCAGTAATAGACTGGCGCGCCTTGAGCCCTGCCGCTGGGATGGCCTGGACGGCGGCCACAGCGGCCAAGAGAGCAACACCGAAAGCCAGAGCAGACATGGGGCTATGAACCGAGCACGGCAATGGGACTATTGAAGAGCAGTGCCGAATTTATAGCTGTAAGTCCGTGGGATACCCCCATGGCAGAGGAGAGGAAGGAATGCGGAGTAATCAGAAGCAAGCTGATGTTGGCGGTGTGGCAACATGGCGAGAAGAAACACCATATGGACACAAGCTGTAGTCGACGAATAAGGAAGGTGCCGGATGCCGAACGGGATGGGACACCCCTACCCGGATACACTGAGAGTCTGAGTTTCATGTGCTCACCGTCGATATGACTATAATAACATACACATGATCGCTCAAAGAAGCGAGGAATGCCGACAAGTATAGACGATCAGAATCTATGCAGTCTGCTTGTTTTCCCTGAGGCCCGTCCGCTAGAAGGACGTGCGTAGATAAGGGCCTTCTATTGCCGCGCCGACGTTTGGCACGTTCTTCAACCACTTCAAATCCGACCCGTGACATTGGTCCGTGTTCCTCAATCAAGAGCAGACTGGTAACCCCGTACCTTTCCACTAAATTCCATTTGACAGGTGATACGCGGGCAACTTTTCGAAAACGCCTGGCCTGACCAGAGACGGTGTTGAGATGGTGTGAGCATGCTATACTATCACACAGCCAATTCACGCCTCTGATCACCCAGACGTGTGATTGATTAACAGGGTGTCGCATATGATGCGCGTGTTACTCGTTGCTCTGGGTACCCTGCATCGGTGTCTGAATGGTGGTTGTGTCAGTAGGCTACTGACCACACAGCCTATACATCGGTTGTTGAGCAGAAGGTTAGGAAACAACGAGACCATGCGCCCTCGCCGCGTCTGACTTGACACCTCATGCCAGTGTGAGCCCAGGAGACCACGACTAGACGATTGCACGCGGTGAGCTAAATTCTTGTTAATAGTAGCCGACCTGCTGTTCGCGATGGACGAACACATCTCGTTAGAAATGAGCAATCATTCCGAGAGGAAAGAGTGGATACCATTCACGTGGAAACGATGTTTTGAGCGGCATCCGTACATATTCTCCTGTAGCGAGGGAAATTGTGCGGAAGTGGTGAACTCCACTAGAAACCGCCACAAGGACATCGTTCGGTGAGAATGCAGCGGTGACTCAAAAACTCAGGGCCATCCGCCTGATAGGGAGCTGAATAGTATGGTAAATCCAAATATAGCTCAGCAAGGGGGACAGAACATACGGCACTGAGAAGTGTACACAAGATCCGAAGTAATGGGGCCACCTGAACACTGATGATAGCTGAACCAAAGCGTAAACACAGCGTACAGGGTGAGCGGAAGAACATAAGGTTTACATAACCTGCCCTAGCCTGGGGTGGGATCTGTGATTAGTCAAAGATCCAAACACTACAATCACCAGTGCTTACGATGCCGTTCTATCCCAGCCAGGGACGGTATATCATGCAAGATACTTGCCGTATGATAGATGCAACTTGGCGCCATCGTGTACAGGCTCTAGAGCCATGTATCAAGTGTTAGTAATTGAGATTCACCAGACAGGCTGATGAGAGCTTTTCACCTTTTATGTACTGTAGGAGGGCGAAGCTGTACAGTTCTACGGCTTCGATCTCCTGCCAATGTCTTCTCAGGCTACATATCTCGACTCTGTTCGGAACACTACAGAACTTGAAGGTCGGAGTTGCCACGGGACAGGACGCAATGATGACGCCATTCTTGAATTCAGCGTGGACCATCTACACTGCGGTATAGCCGGAAAAGCGACATATCAGGATCCTTCTATCACGGTCCTTAAGTGATCAGTAGAACATCCGGAGGGATAAGCGAGAGGCGACACGATCGCTCATGGACGCTAAGCCTTCGGAGCAGAAACATAATCGCTGACTTTATGCTGCCATACCGCGAGTGCATGATCAGTGACTCAAACCAGTAGAGACCTAGCATTCAACACTTACGGTAAGTCAACACGCTCAAAAATTGAATTGTCTAGTCCTAGTTCGCCAACTCCGGAGCCCAACTAATCCATCTCGGCGTTTCGGGCTGATTAAAGTGTCTGGGTAATCAATATTGGAATAGTGAAGTACTGAGTTGGTCCATGTGTAGTCGCTGCCAGAAAGCAAAGGTAATTGGATGAGTATGACAGTCGGATTCACAAGTTCGCTTTTTTGTCAACACTAGGAGAAGTAGACGAAGCGGTGACCCTCACTACGATATCGATTTGGAGTATTGCCAGCCTAATGGTCGGACGTGGCAAGGGCAGCTGTGATATTATTTCAATAGGACGATCTCGTTCCGAAACGCCGAAGTTTTTGACACATCTGGGACGACCAAGGGACGAGGCAGAAATAGCTATCGCGGCTTGGGAAACCGGTAAAAGTTTCTAGGCCGCAGTACAAACTCACCGTTGGTGTCCTGATTGACATATCCGCTATTGAATAATCTCATCGACGCATTCACATCCTCTGCACGTCCTTGAATTCAGAAGATGATTCGTGTTGAAGGAAGTGTCAAAGGAACAAGGAGAGTAAACTTCCTAAGTAGGCTTGTTGCTATTCGGGGAATCCCGATCATGTTGCTGATGAGGCGCTTAGAAGGCGGTACTTATCAGTACTGAAACTGTGGTCTCGTGTCCAGACGTGTCGAACTGGGTACGAGACCATGAAACTGCAACTTTGCAAGTGAGGGCTGGTTGTTAGTGACGTCGACTCACTCTTCTATTTTATGATGCGGTTTTGGCTCGCTCAAATTTATACGCGAAATGTCATAATCGTGATTCTGAGTTAAAGCGCGGGAGGTGCTTTATCTCACTGTTCTTGCCGGACGCTGGAGTCTTGGAAAGATCGATGAGTCTCAGACTCTTGGGCCAAAGTCCAGGAGGACTTTCGCCCACTACAGTAGTGAGCTCGCTACTCGACTGACGTGTTACTTACTGCGAACATAGGACACTTACCTTTCGGTCATTTATTGGTTATAAGGAGCTCAGCGTAGCCACCAACTCAGTCGATCAAATCGAAAGACAGGGCATGCCCGTATGCTCCCATAACCAGGGGGGAAGATATCGGTTTAGCTACGCAGCGCCGTCCCGGGTTTGACCAATTATCAATGTTTGGTTTTGGTCCATATCATTGTCCTGTTTTTTTTTGCTCGGCGGTGCCGTGAGTCTCGACCATCAATGTAAGATTTAACCTGACGTCCTAAGTATATATATCTAGACGGGTGCTACTCTCCCAACTCAGACCTAGTGTCTTCCCTTCTACATTCAAGCCCCACGTTCTCTTCCATGCTTCATTATATTATTTTCCTCGCTTTTTTGTCTGCTGTGCAGACAGCTCCTACAGCAGGTCTCAGGAGTAGGGCATCAATCTCCGCTCTAGGGCAGCCAGCCATCTCAGCGTTCACGCCATACACCCATTACGCCAGCACTGGCTACTGCAAAGCGTCTGAGACACTCACTTGGACCTGTGGTGTGAATTGTCAAGCAAATCCAGATTTTGAGCCCATCGCGTCCGGAGGCAATGGTGACACTATACAATTTTGTAGGTGGCAGGGTGGCTAGTATCGCAAAATGCGCTGACGTTCTGAAAACCATTTCAGGGTTTGTAGGATATGATCCCTCCCTAAGCTCAGTGATTGTTTCGCATCAGGGAACAGATCCTGAAGAGATGTACGTTTCGATCTTTTGCCCCCCAGTTATCATACTGATGCCTTTACTAGCTGGTCGCTCGTCACAGACGCAAAAATCGTCCAAGTAAAGCTTAATTCTACTCTGTTCCCGGAGTTAAGCTCCGACATTGAGGTGCACGACGGATTCGCAGACGAACATGCGAAGTGGGCCGCCCTATCACGCGTATGGAAATACTGCTGCTGATCAATTTTTACAGGACAGCGACGGATGTTCTCTCGGCTGTGCAAAGTGCGATGTCCAAGTATGGCGCAAAGGACGTTACACTCGTGGGACATTCCTTAGGTAAATTGCCTAAGTTCGCATAACTGTATGGAGATGGTAGCTGACATAGTTTGATAGGTGCTGCTATTGCGCTTCTTGATGCTGTCTACCTTCCACTGCATATTCCTGGTGCATCATTTAAGTTCGTTGGCTACGGACTGCCCCGGGTACGCATGATAAAGATCCCCTGTCTTTGCTCATCGCTCATCTCCACCAGGTTGGCAACCAAGCTTTTGCAAACTACGTTGATGCCCAATCAACTTCCGTGACCCACATCAATAACGAGGAGGACCCAATTCCAATAGTCCCGGGTATGGATCTAGGTTATGTGCATCCCTCGGGCGAACTACACATCCAGGATTCGGGGGAGTGGACACAATGTCCTGGGCAGGACAACCCGAGTAAGCAATGCATAGTTGGCGACGTCGCGAACCTCCTAGATGGAAACCTTTCCGACCACGATGGTCCTTACAATGGCATCACGATGGGCTGCTAGTTCACTCTTGTTAGTGTTGATACGTTCTCACGGACCGACATTGCATAGCTTTCATCTTCAGTCTCATCACTCATTGTTGCTTTATTGGGTCATCTTATGTTGATTTTGTTGGGCTCGAATCCTTCATGATTGCGGCACTGACAGAGACTCGAAAAGTATCCCACACGCACAGTTCATATACAACTTGAAGCTATGCATACGATGGTAGTAGTATCTAAGATCTGTATCAGAGACCATGATACCCGATATCAATAAGTACCGGCTTCAAGATCATTGCACAAGCGCCTCGCGGCTGCCACTGTTGCCATGTTATGCGATCTTCAGCATCCGCCATCCACTATGTCTTGCGGCCGATTTTTTGCACTATAGCCCTCGAGATGCGGAGCATAGCCTGAACGAGCATAGCTGTCGCAATCATCCGAGCTCGTCCGCAGATACCTGTCGGGTCGGGTTCCCAATCTGAAATTCTGTGGCTGTTGCTTGTTCCTCATCGACGTTTTTGTGCACAAGCCGCGGGCTCCTTCACTAACCGCGAGATCTTGAGACGCTGTCAAGCTGTGCTAGATTCCAGAGGCTGTGGTTTAGTCCACATCACCGTCTAGTATCCAGCACTCGTTTGGGTCGCTCGACTAAGGGCTTGCCCACCGAGCATTCAGTCTACACTATGCTTCTAGACGAAGCTCCCCTGCCTAATAGAGCCGCGAATCAATCCTTTTGGTATTCCCGTGGTGGCGATGATGCACGGGAAGCCAATCAAACGTGAGCGAGCTATTCTTATATCTCGTGCGGTATCTCATGTGCTTCTCTCGGGACAAGTTCCAGATCGGTGATGCGGTTTGAGGAACGTGCAAGTTATACTTCAAACTTGGTATTTGAATTCGGAGAACCTATTGTGAGATAGTGTGCAGTTATACTCATACACAATCTACTGAACATGGCCTGCATTATCTAGGATCTTGACTTACAAAATGAGGCTCGGTTGTTGGTCCACGCTGGCAAGATGCAGCGTCGAAAAGACTTGAGTTTTGGATTGAAGAATCTCGCAGAGTTATTTGTCATGTTGTTCGACCATTATCGTAAGTTGTCGATCTATGATGTATATTGCTGGGAGCCATGACATTGCTATAGTGCTGCTCGCAAAACCAAAGCAACAAGACGAAACAATCAAGTATCATGTATACGGGCGTGTACGTTGATAATACGCCATGGCCCACACATGCGCTGACGAACATAGCAAAGCCTATACCTCTTGAACTACTGATACTAGTAAATTTCACAGATCCGCCCAAACGGCGGAGCGGCAGCATTATGGCATTAAGTCGATCAACGCCTCGAATAACAGATGATACACAGCTGTCAAAAGATCTTGAAATTGCCTATGGTGGCCGTGTGCTTTATCCTTGCCGAATACAACGTCGCGGGCACCCCGGCGATCCAATGACGCTATATGTTGAGTCTGAACATGCTCGCAACGAATGGAGAGAAAGATTACAAGCTGCCATTGCTCGTAGAAAGCATGTGTTGAGCCTGTCACAAATATTTGACGTTAGACTACTGTGTGATGTATCCTGTGCTCCTCTTCCGTCTAGAAATGTGGTCGTCTCGTCGGATAACATGAAACCACATGGGAGAGTTACTTGCTCTGTCCCTTTTGGTGAGTCTTCTTATTGTTGCTGCGATTTGTTCCCTGAAACTATGTTAGAATCACCGGATGGTAGAGAGCTTATCGCTGTTGGTAGCACAGACGGCGTGTGGTTCGGCTTCTCCCACAATCCGAGTTGTAAGTTCTTAGATGAATTAAATCCTACCTGCTGACCTGGTATGTAGCTTTCCGTCACGTTTTATTGTTAAAGAACGTATCGCAATGTGCCGTTCTGGCTGATTTGGCCTTTTTTCTCGTGCTAGCGGATGGCGTATGCTTGAGATTCTCCACTACGTTCAATCATTTCCTGATTCCTACTCGCAGGTACTCGTGGCATTTGATCTCCATGCCCTCATATCGCCACCCCGCGGAGCTTCCACAAGGGCCACCAAACCTCCACAGGCATTATGTGAAGAAGGCGTCTTTGTGGAGTTCTTTTGTGTAGGTCTGTTAAACGGTCGTCCTTCCGTGGTGTGCATGAATAGAAAAGGCGTATGTCGTCTTCCGAGCTCTGTGATAGTTACTGATTATCTTACTAGACCACTAGCCTTTTCCATATTTTTACACCTAACCTGCCGGACTTGCCGGAATACAGGGAGTGTAATGATATGTTTAGATTACACAGGGTAGATAAACTTTTGATAAGGTTCAGCACGGCGAAGTTGATAAGATCCGTGTCTGCAGGAATTTTTCATTCCATCTGAAGCCTATGATCTCGTGTTTCTAGGATCCAAGATCTCCATACTGTGTCCGAAGGGGTTCGAGGTGATGGATGTTACAGAGTAAGACGATGTGCTCAGAATGTCACCGACCCGGTACTAATCTTCCTTGCTAGATTCTATAGCGTTACGTTGCCCGTGCGTGAGGATACTCGTCTGCGATTGATGACCAAACGCCATGGCGTGTGTCGGCCAATTGGGATGATTCGAACGACTGAGGGACACTTCCTGCTCTGTTATAAAGGTACGACACTGGACATGGACGTACACTCCCTACTTACTACTCCGCTAGCATTTGGATTCTATGTGGACAACCACGGTGATCCGTGTAGTTCAAGTAGTATCATCGAATGGGAGGGCGTTGCAGAGCGTGTGGCGTGGCACCCGCCATACGTCCTCTTGTTCAGTCCCACCTTCATTGAAGTTCGACATGCAATGACTGGCCGTCTTGCACAAATTATCCCTGGGATCGGCGTAGGGTGTCTGTACGACGGACGGCGGCGCGTGCCCTATCTGGATGACTGGTCCCCGGGCGTGCCCCAGGAGCCCCGCGTGCACGGGCTCATGAGACCCGGATCTGCGCCAAGCAATGACACTCCTGCTGAACAGGAGGCGCAATTCGTTTTTGAACTCGTACCCACTATTCCTGCATATAGCCCTTGAATGAATGCCATGCGGATATTTTACAGCTAGTATTCGAGCACTCATATATTTGCTCGGACGGATCTACTTTATTTGCTGCGTTTACACTACTTACTCATCACAGTGCACAATGATTATCCTCAGCCTCGGTTATCTATTGCATACACGTCACGACATATTGAATTGCACGGGACATAGAGTTATATCTATAGCATGTCTTGTGGCGATATTTTAGCCTCCATGTATGCATCGTACAATGAATTTGAACATTGGAATGCGTTGTGGCAAGCCGTGGAGGATCCGCATGATTGTGTACATGCTCTGACTCCGGCAAATAAAATAAATATTGAGACCCGTAGGTCTACCACTCCGGGAAAGCGTGTCATCCTTGTGCAGGGGCCATGCTAATCTTCTCTGTATCGTTCCAATTTTTTCGTATGTCACCCCGAAGGGGACACTAGTCTTGGGACGAAGTGGCAGGATAATCACTCAGCTCTGACTTTCATTGAGCCCGCGGGTTTCTCGCTTATGATTAGTGTAAGCGCCATACCAAATATAGCATCCGAAGTAGCTGTTATGCATACAGTACACATAGTGAATTTTCTGGTATCAGCTCTGTTGACCAGAGAATATAGTAATAATGATGTAGAATAATAATGTGCTGAAACACAATGGAAATCATTATGGGCTCCCCTTTGTCAGCGCTGGCAACAAGAGATCAGGGTGCCTCCCAACAACGTTCAAAGGCGTTCATCCGGTTGCACAACTCCCTCCCGAAACATCCATTCGTACGGCGACGTGCTCACCGCAGTCATTGACGAAGTTGGTGCGCTGCTTCCGGTCAAAGTCCCATTGGAAGAGGTCGTCGCCGTAGAGGTACTATTAGCGACGAAGTTTTCTGCAGCGAGCATTGCAGTTGGCGTGGATGAAGCAGAAACAGAGATTGTCGACATGGCAGCCCCAGTAGTACCCGAGCCAGAAGAGGAGGAAGAACTCGTCGCAGCTGGATCGTAGATTTCCACAGCAAGAGAGGTAGGTGTTGCGATGGTCGAGGTCGTCGCCACAGAAGATGTAGCCGAGCTCAGAATAGAAGAAGTCGTCGTTGACATATCGCTAGAGAGTGAGACAAACTTTCCTGCAGAAGGCAAAGCAGCGGCAGAAGAGCTAACGTTAGCAGATGTTGACGAAGCCATACCTGTCACGGACGCAGACGAACTGGTGGCAGAGACAGAAGCACTCGCAGAGCTCAAGGCAGTCGAGCTCGAAGTAGAATTAGACACAGGGCTGTTCACACTCTTCGTAGGCATAACCTCCGGCGCGGCAGGCGCGAAAACGAGTGTCACGTTCCGAGCTTGCGCAAATAAGGAGGACGCATCATATGCCTTCGAGGTGACGGCACGGAAACCTGGTCGTGTGTTTTCTCCAAAATCCTCGTCCAGACTGGCTATACTAGCCACTTTGCTGCTCGCCGGAGTCGTCGGAACCTGAGGCGCCGCGGACGTAGAGTTCGAAGACGCTGAGCTCGAGGTTGAAGAATTACGAGAGCCCGGATCGTCCGTTCCATCGTCCTCACCATCGAACCACATGGGGCGAATGACGCCGGTTTCAGGCTCATACGCGAACACTTGGCTCTTGTGCTCACCTCCAGATGTGCTGTTCATGCATTCCTCTACCGTCAAGGGAGACGGCGCAGGAGGATTAGGATCAAAAGTCGCACAGTAAGGCTTCATGACGGCGTTTTCGGGCTCGAACACTAGGATTTGTAGAGCCGCCCTCAGGAACGGGGGTACTGATCCCGAGCTACTTGAATTGCTAGTCGAATTAGAAAGCTCCGGTGGTTCTGCCACAAGATACATCTGTGTTTGTTCCGTTCCGGAGGCATTCAACACGAATGCCGCCACAGTCGAATTGTCAGAAGACGTAGAGTTGTTATTTGGTGTCGCAAGGACCAATGAGGCAATCTTCTGCCCTGCTGTCGAGTTTGCCATTGGACTCTGCAAAGCAAGGTCATTTGTCTGAAACTCGATAGTTAAAGGAACGTACCATAATGTTGATGGAACCGGGAACGCCTGAAGTTTGTAATTCGCCCCGTTTCGTATGCGCGATGAAGTACGAACTTCCATGTTCCCCGGACACATAAGTAGACCCCTGCTCCCCACTCCTCTTCTGGGCGCCAGTATGTTCATGGCCCTCTCGGCCATAGCGATCGTCCGGCTGCGATCGGTGGATATTCACATGGTCGTTACTGCCTTTTACGACGACTTTATCGCGGTCATGATGGTCGTGGTCGTGGTCGTGATCATGGCTATGAGGCGCCGGGGCGGGAGCTCTGCGGACCTTGACGTGATTGTGGTCATCATGGCGATGCGGAACAGGAGATCGCGGCCAGCGGACATTCGCAGTGTCATGGCTGCCTTTCACGACGACCTTGTTTGGATCACGATCACGGTCGAGGTCATGATGATGATGGGATTCCGGAGAGCGAGGAATATCAACATGTTGGCGATCGCCGCTTCCCACAGCTTTACCATGGTCGTGTTGCCTGTTAGGGCCAGGGGACCGACGGACACGAACGCGGTCGCCATCACCCTTGGTAACGACTTGATGGTGGCTTCGATGAAGGGAGCGATGCGCATGGACGCGATTATCAATACCCTTCACAATCAGCTTATCTCGGCCGCCGCTACGTTCTTGGACATGATTGTCCTTCCCGGACACGACGACATTGCCATGAGAATTTTGAGGGAAGACATTGCCTTTACGTTGGAGAAGCTCCTCAGGGGACCGGCCGACCAACGTAGGGAAGACATCCGAGCGATGAACATTGACGTGGTCGTGACTACCCTCAACGATGACTTTATGGTCCTCGTGGTCCTCGTGATCCTCGTGATCCTCGTCGTGGTCGTGGCGCTTACCAGCGAGAATGTCCGTGCGGCGCAAACGTTCCATTCCAGTTTCGCGCGCCCGTTCGACTGGGTCAGGTTGATCCCACATCGAACGCTAAATACAATCATCAGTATTAATATTTCGCGCAGTTTGCATAGTCAGAGTGCGCAAACCTTGTCCTTGCCATGCTTCTCACTCGATTTGATAGCGGCTTCCACCTGGACATGATAATCGGAAGCAGCAGACCCACTGTTCCCTTTATGCGAACGCAGAGAAAGCAACAGTCGGGAGTGACCATCAGATGCGTCGCCTGATGTATTGGATGCGTCAGGGTCAGCAGCGGAGGGGGAATGAGCCAAAGTGGGGTGATGAACAGTGGTGGAAGTATCTGCCTCCAAGTCCCTGTAGCGAACTTGCACTATGCTACCTTCCGGAGTAGGGAGGGCTGACACCACTGCAATGGACGAGATGGCAGCCAAGATGGTGAACCGAGGGGTGAGGATGACCATAGCTAGAGCGTGAGACTGGGGATATGGACTCGAAGAGAGCGTACAACAAAAGAAGACGATCCTGTCGCTGCAAGAAGCAAAAAAGCAATATGAGAACGAAACAGAGAGACCGCCGGGGTCTAAAATGGAGAGAGAAAGAGAGGTTGGACAAAAGATAAACTATTCACATGCATTTATATACGCGGAAAGGGGCTTCAGTCGGCCACCCAGTCAGCCGCAGAGTTTGCCAGCCTGAGGTCATTGAAACCGTCGTGTCTTCAACTGCGAACCAGCGGTCCCAGTCAGTATGTCATCAAGCGCAGAGAGTTCTAGCTCCATGGTCATAAGTTCATCTCCATTATGTCATCTCAGAATAGACGTATTGTCAATTTATGGATACACGTTGCATTCCTGCGACAATATGCAGGAACTTACCAAATTCCTCCTACATAAGCGTCACTGAAAACCGTTCGAAAAGGGATGACTTGTTGGTCAAACATGTCCTGGGAACTGGAGCGGACCGATAGGTCGAACTCTAATGATAGATACTCGCATACTAACCGTTCAGTATAATATTCATCCCGCGTTTGGCTAGGTCATACCGGCTTGCTTCTATTCAATTACGCCTCTCCGCCCAAGGACGAGTCCTTCAACTTCGATGAGCCATTTGCAGAAACCATGGCTGACCTTGCGTAGCATCGAGAGTCTGACCAAAGTCTCTCAGGCTAAAGCCCCTCAGGTCCAAGAAGACTGCTCGCCCTAGTACCGCTTAAGTCGTCGACTTTGTCGCCAAGGGTACGACCGTTAGGTCATCTGGAAAATACAACAGAACCAAAACTGCTGCGACTCCTCGCGATGTTACCCTCCGCATCACTTCGATTGCGAGCAAGTTGGCAATGGGAAGGTGCCGATCCATTCCTCCTGATGAATCGACTGCAAGCGAACTGGCATTGAAGGGATGTAAGCCCATTCCTTGGGAGGAGTCGTCTGCGAGCGAGTTGACGGCGAAAAGGGTATCGACCCATTCCTCAGGAAGAACTGACCGTGGTCTCTGTTTAACATCTCTCGGCATTCTCCGCAAACATCAGATACGGCGGATGCGAATACATGGAGAAGTTATTCGCTGACATTCTGTTTTATCTAGTATCATGTACAAACAATTGCAACGATTCCTTCAATGCATTCGTCAACGAGATTATACTGTGAATGACCCAGCTGCCCCACACACGCACAGAGGGCGGCGACGACTGACCATGACGATCATCGAGAGATCGATTGCGACTCATCGAAACGACGATGGTGCAACGCGTTGCGTGCGCGCGTTGCTCCCCCCGAAGGAGACCGTACAGAGGCGCGTATGATGCGTGAATCGTTCCGGCGGAGTTTTTTTCCTGATCTTGCTCTGGTTCAGCCCAGCAAGCTGTAGTTACAAAACACCCTAACGTATAAGCATATTGATCATGAGCATTCTGTTTGTCATCATAGTATGCGGGTGAACACCGGAACGCATTCGAGATCCAAGATGATTGACTACGAGTTACAATATGTGGTTTTGTAACCTATATTTTTACCTATTACACCCGCTCAGATATTCATGCCTACCTTTCATTTTTGTCCAGCTTTCGAAATTTTCCTTGCATCCACACTCGGTACATTTTCAGCTGCCGCTTTCTGTTCACAATTAGACGGCGGTCGATCCCCAACTGTTCTATGGAAAATAACGGATGCTCCTCGATTTCCGTTTGTCGAGATGAAGGATGTATGTTGCTTAGTGCGCGAATCGAACCCGAAGGGATTGCTTCCGCTCCGAAAGCAGATGTGGAGGTTGTTACTGAAGCTGATTTCTGGGTAAAGAGTAGTCCTGATGGATCTGGGTCAGTGGGCTGGTCGGGAGGGGTAGACGGAGACCGAGTGTCCTCGATGTCTTCGAGATCTTCCATGACCTCGACCGAATTAGCCGCCTTTGAGGTTGCAGGTGCCAGAGATCCAGTGAAGAGTAAGGCGAGTTCATCTAGATATCATTCAACTACCATTTCGTCGTAATGACGGAGACGCAATGTTGCACACCTAATTCAAAGAAATAAACCCGCGTCTTGTCACCACGAATGTATAAATTATCTTCAAGCAGCCGCCCACCCTTGAATCGTAACTGCGTGAGATCATAACGACCGTAGTCTCGGAACAACACGACACCGCCTGGTTTAAGCATCTATATGACATGAGCATATACCAAGATGCAAGATGCAAGATAAACCTTGTGTATGTTTGTAATAGCTTTGTGCCATTCTTGTGGATGCAAAGCGCTCAAGACAAACACTAAAATGACAATGTTCACACTTTCTGGCTCAACCTCAGGCGGTAACTCGGACAATGTCAAGTCCCAAACTGCAGCTTTGATGGAACCCATCGGTGGATTCAAATACAACGGATTGGCCTTCACGTTGAAAGGAAGATGAATTTCAGACGGAAGGTTGCAGCGATATTTGAACGCACTTGCACAAGCTTTACCGCATGGGGCGAATAATCATAGGCCCGTAGATGGAGCGATGGGTTGGCATTGGCAGATAACAAAGGAAATATCGCATTTCCCGCACCTAGTGTAATTTAGCTCTCCGTGTAGTCAAAGCACACAGATTCGTACCACAGCCAATCTCTGCTATGGTGATGGCTCCTGCCTGCATGAGACAGTCAGGAGACGTTGTGCAATGGGGCAAAATGCGACATACATCTGGTTCTGCGGCCTTCACGAGATCAGGGAACTCGAGATGCAGCCTGTTGTGAAACGTAAGAGCAGCTTTTGCACGCCAGTGAAAGCAAATTACCCACCATTTCCGATTGCGAAAGAAATTGCTAGCATTCATTTTGTAAAAGTTATCCCTAGTGATCACATTTGTCATCGTCCAGTAAATATTTACGTGACGGGAGCCAACATGCCAGTGTCTAGAAGGTTTCTCGTTATACTTTGATTTCTCATGTTCAGGGACAGGTGCCAGCTTCTGTCTCGCTAGAGCAGCGGTAATAATGTCTTCCTGATCATCTGGAGGAGGTACATGATCCCATGCATTTTGACTCCAGACATCAGATTCGTCTGTAAGAAATCTAGCATACACCATGATCAATATCATATACGGGGGTCGGAATGATCCTACCTCGAGCCGAATGGAGGTTTTTCCGCGCTCACGTCGTGTACGGAAGACGACGTCTTCGGGATCCTTGATTGACCGGCCTTGGTGGTGGACATGACGGTTCCGCCCTGCTGTTTGGTACTAGAATTTATGTGGATCGAATCGAAGCTACAGTGTGTACTCAGGCTGTCTACTCGAAAGAGCTGCATCGACTTCACGTGATCGGATGTTATCTGCGATGCACGAAGCAGAGACAGTGACACGCCCATGCTGCGAGCACTGGTTGCTCTTCCTGTGTAGGCCCGCAATAGCGTGTTCCCAACATTGATACACGCCCCCATCTGACAAACCGTACTGCTCTTTGGCCCGTCGCGACAAATCGGCTCCCTATGGCGTCTGCTGCGTCCGCTCATCTTTCCACCGTTCCTGACGAGGGAGACTTGGCCAGCCTATACCAACAAGTGCTCGCTGGATTTGCAGAGGAGACTCCTCCAGCTGAACGGCCGCACCACAGCAGTGAAGAGGAAAATGAGTCTCTATATCGTCACTATGGTGATGATGGAGGTGATGCATCCGCATCATCTCGTCGGCAGGCGTCCGTTTCGGTCACCTCGCCGCACAGTTGTATGTTTCAGTTCTGTCGCCGTAGCGTCACGGAACAGCTTACCCTGATGACCTGACAGTCGCACATGGGCCCCCTTCAGCACAGCATCCTCCACATCGACCAGTATCCACCGCGCAGTCACCGACCCGTGGACTAGCACGAAGACCCTTGCCTCCCCTTCCTGGTCAGTCATCAAGCCCAATGCTACCGCAATCACCGTCTCCTCAAGCTCAAGTGCGTTATGCATCCGGAATGCCTGATTCACGACATGGGCACGACGACTTTGCACCACCACCTCCGCCGCCGAAGCGGACCAGTACTGATTCGTGCGTGTTTGAGTAATTATTACTTATATGTACGTGCTCATAGACCGTTCAGGGGTCGTAGGTTGCCTCCACCTCCAGTAGAAATGGTCTCTTCGACCAAAACCAATGGTTTTCATAATATTCCACCACCACCACCCCTTCCTCCTAACCGAACATCAACTTTCAGTAGTGTCAGTGTCAATTCGCGACCTGATTCTCGCTCATATGGGCAGGCGCTGCGTCCGGGTTCGTCTGACAGTATGGCTGTGAGAGGATCTCCTATGCAGATGCCCGTGCCGGAGATTCCAGAAGGTTACAGTTGGAAGACGGATGGTAAGTCTCAGAGACAACTCTCCACGAGACCGCCAGGTGCGTCGCCACCCCAAGTTCCTGGACACAACGGTTCCTACGAAGAAGATCGTTCATCGGCCTCATTTTCCCCACACGACGAGCTATATACCACTCCGTCAGACTATTCTCCTTCGCTGATGACAGCGACTCAGCATAGTCAGAAATGTGAGTGTTATACAGCAAACTGTAACCAATTTGTCCACTTATGTCATCCGTCTCAGCCTCACAATTCATGCACGATGTTGGGCGAACTGGGTCATTAGGCTCGGGAAGGTCGTCAGCGCACGGAAGTATCGTGTTCTCTCATCAAAATGGCACGGCTAATGTGGATCGGCATCCCTCAACCATCACGACTGCGTCAAGTTCGTCTATGTATTTTGGGAGCGATACTGTGAATACGACTGCCGCCTCGTCAATAACATTCGATCGTGGGGATTCAATTGGCTCGTTCACACCGAAAGGGTCGGAAGCTGCGATCCAAGTGCAATCTGGCTCTAGTATGCAGTTATTACATCAGTATGATTCCCAGCGATTACTCTCTGCCCACACTGCCGGTCAAGTTTCACGTTCGTCTTCCGCCCAAGGTCCGGCGCGATCTATTCCTTCTTCGAGTCCTTCGTGGCGAGATAATGAAATTATACGGACATTACAAGATATCAAGCGCCCACTGGATTTACACTCTGGAGACTGGGATGAAGAGGATGATTTTTATGATGAGGACGGCTCAGAGGAGAATGATGACCGCTTCTTCAATCCTGCGCTACTAAGTCATATTGCGGTGAGGCTGCGCGACAAGGTTCCGAGGGGGACGCATGTGAAGGGGAGTATACCATATCCCAAGGCCTTCACTGGCAAGGACATTGTGGTATGTCTTATTCAGTGACCCACCATTCAGATATTAACCTATTACGTGATGAAAGTCCACTGTTCAGTCGATCATTCAACGCGAGCTACTCGTCACTCATGGGATCTCGACAAGCGACAGACGCGCCGCCCTCCAGGTGGCGCGCAGCTTGCAGAGTCAACTCTTCTTTTACGAAGTAGAGTGGGGCGGACGCGTGCTTCAGGATGGCGTCGAGGATGTCTACATGTTTCTGGACGACCAGGAGGGCACCTCTGAACCAGTACTTGATCGGGCAGAGCGGGAGGAGTTGCCCACTGCTGTAATCACGCTGCTGACAAGGTGCTATGCTCCGAGCTGCTATGATGAGACACCGTGTTATGCATATGACTGTCCTAAAAGGGTGTGTGATTTCAAAGCCTGCTATGAATACGCCTAACTTCATTCCGGGGTCACTAGAATCGAAGTCTGCCTGTGGTGGCTGCCGTGGAAGTTGAGGATGTGGAAGAGCAGGTATTTCATTCAGTGCTGTCAACCTTGTTCTCATCTGAGTGACGCTTCGGTCAGGATGATTCTTGGTCAAAGGATGTACCTGCAGAAGTACTGCGGACATTGCCAGAAAGCGAAAAGAAGCGTCAAACGTAGGTTCTTATTCTCTTTGGCAGATATATATGCTCAAAGGTGTCGTAAAGTATAATATATAACGTCATCGCCAAGGAGAAACAGTACCTCCGCGATTTGGACATTGTGGAATCGGTATGCTACCATATATTAGCGCATGTCGCCACGAGTTGACTTCTTCAAGCTTTTCATCAAACCGTTGCGCAGGGCAAACCCGCCTGTAATCCGCCAAAGCGACCTCGAGACCTTTATCGATGAGGTTTTCGCAAACATCCTTGATTTGCGCGAATGCAATCGTCGTCTTCTGGAAATGCTGAATGTGCGGCAACGTGAGCAAGCGCCGATCATTCAGGGAGTTGGAGACATATTCCTTGAAGCGGCTACCGAATTTCGTCTGTCGTATCCTCTTTACGTTGGGCAGCTTCCTCTCGCCGAAAAGAGAGTTAAAGACGAAAGTGATCGCAACGCGGAGTTCCGGCGATTCTTGGAGGTATATTACCGAATGTTGTAGTTTGAAACATTTGCTCATGACGTTTTCGTAGCAATGTGCTCGCCACCCAGATGCTCATCGACTGGACCTCAAGCACTTCCTGAATCGGCCTTCCGAGCATATGCAGAAATATCCGGTCCTTCTTGAAGCAATCTGCAGCGAGACCGTCGAAGGAAATCCTGATGTCGAGTTCTTAAAAGAAGCGATAGAAGCGATTAAGAAGTTGCAAAGTGTGGCTCAGTTGTGGACCTGGCAATCAGCCATGGGCAAGGGTCCAACTGGCAAGCTAGAATGGTACAATCTTGTGTCTGAAGAGTTTAGGAAGAGCTTACCAAAAAAGGAAGCTAAGCGCCAGTCGTATGTGCCAGTTTTCTAATAGTTCCACATTATATGGATGCACTACATCTGTTTAGCATAATCTTTGAACTCATCAAGGGAGAGATGGAGTACGTGAAAGATCTGGAGAACATCGAAGTGGTATGCTCAATCATCGTCTTCGAGATCATGAGCTGACTTCGCTGTAGATGTACGTCTCGCCACTGCGAGAAATGGATCCGCCCATTGTTCCCCGAGATAGACTGGAACAGTTTATTCGGGATGTGTTCCATAACTTCGACGAGTTACATGCATATCATAAGAAGATGCTTCTTGCCTTCCACGACATTCAGCGCGAGGAACACCCGGTCATTCGCAGTATTACCGCAGCAATCTACGACGCAGTTCTAAATTTTCGGGATGCATATATGGATTACATCCCCAACTATCCTATAGCAGAATATCGCATTGACGACGAGATGGCTACGAATCCTGCATTCAAAGCATTTGTTGATGTAAGCTGTCAATTGTACCGAAGTCGCTGCTATATCTCACATTATCCTTCCTTAGCAATGCACTCGACACCCTGATGCTCGAAAGCTGGATATGAAAAATTTCGTTAACCGCCCTATCCCTCGCTTGTTGCGGTACGAACTTCTTTTGAAAGGTGTCTTGGAGGAGACGCCTGCAGACCATGAGGACCGCGAAGCGATACCTCAAGTACTTGAGCTTATTAAATCCCTTGGAAAGGAGGCCGAGCCGGGCGTGACTTCGGCCAAACAAAAAGTTGAAGTCTGGCGTTACAACTCGCAACTGGTCTTCAAGCCAGGGGAGGCTATTGTAAGACATTTTCCCAGGTATATTTGGGTCGGCGCTGACCGTCGTACCCAGGATATGGACCTATTAAACGAGAATCGGTCCTTAATCCATGCTGGAAAGCTCTTGCGCCAGCCGGATACCGGGTTCGAATGGAGTGGATGGTCGGAGTTATTCGTTTTGCTTTTCGATAACTATCGTAAGTCAATGTCCAATACCTGTGATTAAATCATCTAAACTAAAATTTGTTAGTTGTAATGACTAAGCCGAAGGAGAAAGATGGTGTCACACGATACCAGGTTTACAGACGAGTAGGTTGTCTACAAGCTAGTCCAATAGTTACTTTATTGAAGCGCTGGATTACTAGCCGATACCGCTAGACCTCCTGACCCTGGCCAACTTTACAGATCCTTCGACGCAGCGGGGTGCTGGAATACTCAGGCTAGGCCGTTCAGGAACAGATCGTCATGTTGAAACTGCCACAACTCCTGGGGCAGCGAGTGCTGTTGACAGCGCAACTGATTCTCGTGCCGTCTATCCTTGCACTATTCACCATAACGGACGATTGGGAGGTCTCTACACTGTCTTTGCCGAGTCTAGCCAAGGGCGCAGCGATTGGAAACAGAAACTTGACGAGGCGATTGGACTGCGTAAGGTGGTACAGGAATCTAACAAGGTCTTCGAAGTTGAAACTCTCAGCGCGGATACGTTCTTTGTCCCAGCCATTACGCAGAGCAACGGAACCTCATACAGCCACGAGAATCCGTTCACTGGAAAGGCGACATGCTCTGTTCCATTCAGTATGTCTTTCATCTGCCGCAGGTCAAATGCTTAGTGACCGGATCGTGTAGCTACTCCTGACGGTAGGGGTCTCGTCGCAATAGGATGCGCCGAGGGCGTGTGGATTGGCTTCCGTCACGATTCAAAATGTCGGTAACAAAGTTTCTATCATATTGCTTGCAACTCACACCTGAATTGTAGCCATGCGCCGAGTATTGCATCTAAAAATGGTAACCCAATGCGCCATGCTCGAAGATTTCGGGATTTTCCTAGTGCTTGCCGACAAGGTACGTGTTATGGCGTTTTCTCACTATCTTCAGCTTTAACTCCATAATCAGTCGCTGTATGCGTATCATATTGAAGCCCTTGTCCCATCATCTCCACAACATCTCAACACATCGCAAACGCCTCAAAAGTTGAGCGGCAACAAAGATGTCCACTTCTTCAGCGTCGGCAGTCTCAATGGTCGTACTCTGGTCATCTACATGAAGAAGAAAGGAGTAAGTGAGCTGATATGTTGACTTCGACCTCTCAGCTGAATGGGAGGGTTCCAGCTGGACAGTGTCTTCCGTGTCCTTGAACCCGTCGTTGGAAAAATCAACGAGAGAGCTAGGGCACCGCAGAGCTTGGGTTCACGTCTCGGTCTAAGGTCGCAACGATCGGAGTGGTTCAGAGTGTATAGGGTTGGTGTGTTGGATTCTTCGAGTGGCTTTGCCTAACCCTGTTGCACAGGATTTCTTCTTGCCATCGGAGGCCTATGACCTAATCTTCCTAAAAGCCAGAATTGTGATCCTTTGTACGAAAGGTTTTGAGATCATGGATTTGACGGAGTGAGATGAACCTTCTCGGCTCTCGTTTTGTGTTGTGCTGACGTGAGCCATTCCCTTAGCTTCAAGAGTGTTACTATTCCTCAGCGCGATGATCCACGGCTTGAGAAGTTGGCCAAGCGCTGCGACTCGTGCAGACCTATGGGCATGTTCCGCACCAGTCAGGACGAATTTTTGCTATGTTACGACGGTACGGAGTTTGTGTTTTTGAAGCTAAGTCACGTACTGATCTCGATATTTCATCAATGCCAGAGTTTGGTCTATATGTCGATCGACACGGAGACCCTAGCCGTTCATTGGGAACCATCGAATGGGAGGGCACTGCTGAGCATGTTGCCTGGCATCCGCCATACGTGCTGTTATTCGACACACGTTTCATTGAGATCCGCCATGTGGAGACTGGCCGGCTTGCACAGATCATCCCCGGCAACGATGTGCGATGTCTCTGGGATGGACGAGGAACTACAAATGTTCCAACCTCCACAGTACCAGGTCCAGAAGGTTGGACAGAAGGGGTATCCCAAGAGCCTCGCGTGCACGGCGTCATGAACTCAGGTGCTATTCAGCCTGGTACAGGGCCCCGCGGTGTCCGTCCTGTGGTGCAGCACGTGTTCGAACTCATTCCCACAATACCACTTTACATTCCTGAATCATTGTCCTCTCCTTCACATGCAACGCAATTCGCACAGAGTAACTCTCCCCCACATTCGCCGCGTTTGAACCCAACTTTATCTTTCCGATGATGTATTGTTTATGTATGTCTGTATCACGACCACCACCTGCTGCTTGTTTTCGGATGTTTTCTATTGCTACCTTCATGTAATGAATTCTATTTTTTCTTCTTTCGCATTCGGCAGTGTCGTTGTGGGGACATTGATAGACCATCAGTACATAGAATCCTAATCTGTACGCCTTCGATGTCAGGTTGTCGGATCGGTGTGTAGGGGTACATTCAGTTTCACGATGTGATGACAGTGTCGGCCTGTCCTTGCGCAAACCTGACAATTATCAAGTCGGCTGTGGGCTTCTAAGCTATCCACACTGAAGCAAAACTAACAGGAAAGAGTACTATACCGACCAGTGCAGGAAGGGCGCGCACGAAATCTGATCGCACTCGCGGGGACGGAACAGACAGCGGCATGAAGCACCTGTCAATCGGAAAGAGACTGATAGAAGAGAAAGGTAGAGTTGAACTTCGACAGTTGCCAATATTTGCTTCTTGACTCCGAGACGAAAATCCACATGATGAGCCATGGACATTACCGCCAATAAATACAGAAGAGTCGAGGTACAGGTCAATAGGTGGCAGCTCTGGCAGTGAATTCGGCCGGGAGTATAATGGTCCTGGGTCACCGATCGCGACAGATGGAGACCAGCAGGTCATAGGTCGATGTGACTCGGAGTTGTGCACCTTCTTAGTCGCTGACGTTTTGGTCATCTTGGTAGGACATAGCAGAGTCGATGAGCCTATCAGCCAGCTTGTAGCTCCACTGACTATCGCCCATGCCCGACTACGAGCTACATCGATGACGTTCAGAGGACCATCTTGTTCAGGAACAAGACCATTTGTGTTGTGACAGTCGTGTATGAATTTGGTACACAACTCTCGCGCGGAGCATTCAAAGCCATACTGCGTTCCTTCCTTATCCCTGGCATGGCAGTGACTGGCGATTCAGTGGCGCATTTTCGGGATATAAGAGAGACTTTGAGGACTTGTAGGCCGACGACGTATGAGGCGGCATCTAGAGATATCCGAGATGTATGGCGTCGTGCCGGGAGGGGACAGTATGAAGAAAGCATTGTCAAGCACATCATCGACCCCTATGTAGTGCATGATTGATTAATTGATTGCCCGGGTGCGGGGACGATGGTACATTGGCCGCAAGAGAATATGAATACTAGAAAATAACAAGAAATCACTGTACTCATCTCGGGCTGGACCCCACATCGAAGGTCAGTTTGAATAAGCGAACGGCAAAAACTCAAAGTAAGCTGCAGTGTAAAGCTCGGCGATCTTGAGGCCGATTGAAGCCATAGAATTGTAACACTGGATTATTTGGACCGAGCTCGAGTGAAAGCGCCACAAACGACTCGCAGCTCATTGTGGTCCACCCAGCTACATGGAAGACCTCGAGGATGCGTATCCAATGCTCTTTCATGAAGCGATAGACCCCTGGATGTGAATTGACGGAATCAAAGCTGAGAGGAAACGAAGAACAGACCAGAACCAGCAGTTTTATATGAACTTCTCTCCACTGGAGCTAGCGTCAGTATGAATAAACATGCAAACTTAACGGTGGCCTTTTCACCGCAATGATGAGTACAGTCGTGCGAGTCGCGGTGCTCTGATATCGATATGATGTTCAAATTATGGCGCACCTTCAAGTTCATGTGTTGGTGGATCCAAGGCAAGATAGGAAATTTGAGAATAGAAAGAGACAAGAGCAAAATAAATATTGAGACCCGTAGGTCTACCACTCCGGGAAAGCGTGTCATCCTTGTGCAGGGGCCATGCTAATCTTCTCTGTATCGTTCCAATTTTTTCGTATGTCACCCCGAAGGGGACATTGGTAGTGGTAGACGGAATGAGCACACGTGAGTCGTTTTGCTTTTTGTGCATCCCGCGGGCTTGCTCCGCGTCTCGATTCAAGCGCTGACGCTGTTCAGCTTAAACGCCTCTGACGCCTCTTCAACCTCCCAACTTGTATGGCGAATATCAAAAACGGCTAATTTTGTGATACAGACAAATGATTTCAGAGTTTCCGTGCATTTCCAAGCATATTGTGGGTGGTAGTTTCATCTCCGTACGATATATTTTAATTTTGGACAGCACTAATCCTGAGCCAGCTGGCATATGACAACGACAAGAGCTTGGACATCCTGTAATGCGTAATATTTTCACTGGCTTCCTAGATTTGATTCAAATAGCCAATTGTCTCATTCTACAAGGATTATCATATGTCCACCGGTTCCGACGCCGATCGATATCGACCTTGAAACGATCGGGAGCGCCCGACACGAAGCATTTCAAGCCAGGTCGAGGCCGTTTGTCCAATACCCCTGCCTTGAAAATGCCACACAAGGATTCAAGCTTCATATCGCGTCTCCCCGTCGAGCTGCTCCTAGCGGTGAAGGAGTCTATTGGCGACTGCGACCTCCGTACTCATGTCTGTTTTTATAACACCTGCCGCCGGGTTGCCGCGTTATATGACCGTGACGGAGAAAATATCTGGGAGTTGCTCTGTCGTCACGTTGGATTAGGCCTCCTTCACGAGGAGACACGTCATAGGGAGGAAATATCATGGAAGAAAATTGCCTTCGACTGCATCGCCGAGGATGGCTTTTGCTCCCATCCGTTGTGTGGGACTCGCCGTCTTACCGAGAACGGTGAATCCCCAATTTATTTCTATTCGCAAAGCTTGGTGACACCGATGCGTCTTCGCAGCACGAAGCATGCAAGAGGCTATCCGTAAATGGGGGATGAAATTCCTTGACAGCGGCAAAGCGTACAAGCCGGACAGTCGTCTCCAGGGCGTTATCATCAATCCGGTTTTCGAGCATATCGGCTTCCAACTGGGACACCCTCTGCAGATGCAGTTTCCGACGGAAGATGATGCGTTCCTACATTGCGATGACATTCCAGGATACCCTCAGGCTCGCCGGACGCTCTGCAAACACCCGATTGCGTATCGCAGTTTTGCGACGTTCCCGCCGCTCCGTTGGATGACGCTGCTCATCAGCCCAGCACTGGAATACGACCTCCTGAACCATTCTGGAGTCACTGTCTACGATATTGAACTTGACCTTCGCGCAGAGTGCGTAATTTGGCGTTTCGTCTATGGGCTTCTATTTACCAATGGCATCATTCCAGTCTCGACCGCTCACTCACGGTAATTGACTTGCAGGAACTGCTAGAGGGGACGTTCAGGCACGATATATTCATGCCCGAGGCGAATGGGATGGAAATTCTGAACTACACGACCGTTCGTAAGCTCTGGGAGATTTCGTGAGTTTGGTCATGTGCGCATCATGCGACGTGGGCACGACGTGACTGATTTTGATTCTGCCAGCCGCTGGGACGGATTCGAGCAGGATGATGAGGATCCGTACCAATTTTGGGCCAAGTTTTCTCCGCTAGATGACGCTACAGATGACGAAGAGGCACAGTCAGATGCCGACGCGGCTTAACAGCTGCTTTATGATCAGGAATTCGGATAGAGACGGAGGGCATAAATCACGCTAGCGCTTGACTTCAATAGGTTACATTCGTTGATCATTCTTGTCGGCTTATCCAAACGGCAAAAAAACGATACAGTAGACAAAAACGCCCTCGTTATCATTGCAACACCACACCACATGCATGGCGAATATCATAGTATATACTGTTAGTCGCAAACACGTACAATATGAAAACTCCATTTCCGTCCTGCAGCACCGAATACCCGACGCTATACTACAAGCTTAATATCATTGCGCGATATACTGTGAACATAAAACTTAACCGCTAGCGCTAACAATAATCACGTCGACGAAGCGGAAGATCAGAAAAGGACAGCGGCGATCTTCTGCATGATCGTCGTTGGCGGAACTTCTGGAGTTTCAGTCTCTTTGACAGAAGGAATAGCCTGTGATTCATAGAGTCTTCAGGAACGCGGGTGCCTGGAGAACGAATACAGAAAATGCGCACAGTTACGAAATCCATTTCCTCCGGTTTCCACGCTTTTGTCCGCTTGAAGATCTTCCAGAAGACGTACAGCCCCAGGAAGATCGGCACATTGATATCTGCGAGTTCAACGAAAAGTCAGTCGCAGTCAGCCGAAGTGTACAGCCACTTACAATCGGTAAAGAAATCTGATGCGTTAAAGGCCCAGAATACCTCGAATCCAGTAATGAGGATGAAAATAGCGAGCCAGAAAATAGCCCAGTACGCGAGGTATGGCTGGAGACGGTTGTAATATGAGAACGTTCGGCGGTCATAACCCTGCGCACGCAAACCCTTGTCTGCCAAATGTAAGGGTCAGCACAGAACGTCAAGGACGGAGAATAAGCCATACAGAATTGAACGTAGGTTACGTTCATGGCACCCCAACTGAAGAAGCCACCAGTCGTAGACAAATTGACGAGCCAGCTATACACGAAACAAAATTAGTTGAAATGATAACAGAATAATTGACTGCACTCACTTGAACACGGTATCCGCGCCTGATGACACGCTCATGAACGACAAGAAAGCAAAAATACTCGAAGTAAGGACTGCTGCGAGCGGCAAGCCACTCTTCGTGCAATACGCGAGGAAGCGCGGTGCTTGTCCACGAACCGCGAGACCGTATAGGATACGCGATGCAGCGAACAAGAAGGAATTGCCGGCGGAGAATGCGCTGGTGAAGACACATGCGTTGACAAAGCTAGGAAGCACCTTGATGCCTGCGCGCTCGATAGCAATGACATAAGGCGATTCGGCCGCGGTACCCGTGGTGGAAAGGAGCGATGGATCATTGTAAGGGACGAGCATGCCAGTGATGACGATACCGAGGATCTAGAGAACAGATGTAAATGAGCAATGTTTACTCTGATCTTCAGAGAGACGACTTGCATAGAAGATTAGGATACGCCAGAAGACACGGCGTACCGCTTTCGCGATATTACGACGAGGATTCTCAGTTTCCGCTGCGGAACTACAGGAGCATATCCGGTCAGTGCCAGTGCTCCAAGAAAAAGGTGAGGTAACATACATCGCAACGATCTCCATACCCTGGAACGAGAATGCAGCCTGGACGATGACAGAAAGCATACCCAAGAATTTATCAAGACTGGGATGCTTGGGCTCAAGACCAGAGCCTGCAAATGCACCAGGGTTATCCCAGTACTGCAGACGGTGGTGTCAGCCAGCTTTACATGCACGCTAGATGCTGAAGTTAGCGTACCCTGAAACCGATACGGTCATGGTTGGGGCCTCCTCCCAGATCAATAACCAGTCCAACAATGATCAGTAGTGTGATCAAGAACACTACAGATCACGTCAGGAAATGAGAACTGCGGAAACGACACAATCACTGACGTTTGATTATGGAGAACATGAATTCAGCCTCGCCGAACCAACGAACGCCGAAAATGTTGATGGCACATACACAGACGGTGATTGCAGCGAGGTAGCCAGATTGATGTTTGATCTGTCCAATGGAGAAAATTGAGTATAAAACGACGCAATATGACGACAACAGAGGCTTACATTCCCGTCCCAGAACGTCACGAGGATTCCAGCGGCCGTGATCTCAACCGGAGTAGAAATAGCAGTGGTATAGAAATAGTTCCAGCTAGCAAGGCGCGTTAGCAGCGTATTTTCAGCTCGACCCAAAGGAATGTCATACCCAAGCGCAAAGCCGAGGGCGGGATCAGCCCATCTAGCCGCATAATGTGGGAAGGAACCCGAGATAGGCGCGAACGAGGTCATCTCGCCCAGACTGCAGAGGGTAGCATAGGTTACACTACCGACCAGGGCGTACGCGATAAGAGCGCCAGCGGGTCCAGCGCCCTGGAGAGCATGGCCGGAACCCAAGAAGAGACCAGTACCCAATGTACCCGCGATCTACACGCGCAGTAAGCATGGAAGGCAACGATGGTTTGAATGTGCACATACAGCAATCATCTGCACATGGCGTTGTTTGAGTCTCCGCTGAACCCGGTCGAGGTCGGCGGCATCAAAATGATTCTTTGGGTCAGTCTGAACGACGTATTCCCGTACGCCGCCCTTCTCGATGGAGCTGCTGTTGTCCGCCTTTTCGTCTGTAATTCGATCGGGGTCGTCGTACGGGGGAGACACGACGCTGGACGAGTAGATGTCCTGGTGCGACATGATGGGAGGTCGCAACTATCGGCGGGGGGGAGCGAAGAAGCGGGCGAGGGGAAAGCTCGGGAGACGCTGGGCGTTCGCAGCCCATATAAAGCCGGACGAAGCGCGTGCCGGAAGGGGGGACATAACTCTGGTGGGCTTAAGCGAGGAGCTGCAGAACTGCGCGATAAGCGATATGCGACGCCACCCAAGGGGGCTGATGGAATCATATCATGATGACGGTCCACTCTTCGATCTGGACAACCTTACCCGACACTCCGCGGGCCTGCGCGGCGCTCGCATACGTCGACACCGTCCTCAACGACGCCAAACGATTCCAGGACAATGAAATGAACTCTGCACTGAGCATGAAGACCGGCGTCCAAGTAGCCACATTCCCGACTCAGACTTGATCGTGATGCGGAGAAAATTTGGAGCGAAATCTGTTTTAGCATGCATCCACATGCACCACTACATGTGTGTCCATGGACCACGGTCATTACCCCGCGTCTTGTGAGCCTTTAGGCAACCCCACCCTGTGAGTTGGGCTGTATACCTATGCTCTCTGACAATGCACAGACAGCTCGGTCCCGTCCACTCGACGTATAGGCTCCGGTGCTGCTGCAATCTGAGACCCTACTTACCGATGCATATGAAAAAAAAGGTTCGTATCAAGCCGTCAGCGGCGGGAATTACTATTAGCAACAGTGATAAGGCCAACAATATAGGAGATAGATATCTCACCCTGCTGGTTCCCGCGTCAACTTCAATAGCCCAGTCGCGTGAATAGGTATATCCTCCCTCCCAACACAAATCTTAGAGCTTGTCATTGGCAGACATTCGTGGATGTTGTATTTCTGCGGCTCTGTAAGGATGATGATCCGGTCCACGAATTTTACAGGGTCATGGATGAGGGAAGGGGCAGCATCCATATCATCACTTTGATCGGAGGTTCTGTCCTTTGACGCCTGCACTGGATTGCGCACGCGACCGACAGACTAGCCTTGCCGCCAGGCCATCGTAATCAGTGACCCTTCAGAACAAACCGGGGTCGATGGGGGCAGACTCATCCAGTCGCGGTGTAGCGACAGGATATCCACTCGGTGTCACACGGGCGCCGGCATTTTTCTCTGTCCCTGAATGAATCCACGCCCTTCAAGGGAGCCCTGACTCGTCCTGCTATCTGCGACAACGGCCATTAAGCAGGCTTAGCGTCAGCTATGCCTCGCACATCCATGTCCTGTCGACCTTGGGCTGCTCAAATACTTGAAATCTCTGGAATGTTAGGATCCCCGACGACCCAGGGACCGATAATTGAGATGCTCTTGCTGGCACCAGCCGTGACGGAATGGAAGATCTTCGACCCAGGCAAATATTGCCTTCTCCGACCAGCATGTGCAACTTGAAACCGTCTGCAAATGGAGTATAGCCCAGGAACCACGTTGGCCACACGTCGCCAAGACTAATCATTGGGGTATCTCGTCTTCTGCGTCCCTCGTCTATCTAGACGCCCGTATGTCGTTGGTGGTCTGTGGTTCTGGTTCATGGCTTGTGATAGTGGACCTAACAATATCAGAGACAGTGATGTACCGGTGACGTTCGAAGGACGGCCAGCGACACCCTCCGACACCACGACACCCCGTCCTCATGGGACAGGTTGGAAAAATGACGAGCGGAACCGCCACGAGACAAGACAAGACAAAATACGAGCTCGGAGAAATGCTAGAGCATCCTTCCAGTCTGTGCTCCCTCTGTGAGTAGCTATGATGGAAAGACCGACCATAGTATGTGGGTCGGGGCCACTGTCCTATCGAGGTTGGGCGGGCTGATTTCAGGAACGGCACGCAGCCCCTTCACGTAAGTGTTGCAACCAGTTACCCGAGTGCGTCGACGAGGCAAACTTCGCGGACTGAGGGATGCGCGACGCGTGTTGTCATGCAACCTGTTCTAACAACCTTGATCAGTCGACAGTGGCAAGTGGTCAATCCTCGCGCTGATCGTTTGTGCTACGGCCATCAACATTGATTTGACTGCTATAATTCAGAACCCGGAATCAGCTTCAGGAAATGCGTCAGACCCACCGATGAGTATCGCAAGAGCATTTCGCACCTTCAAGACCTGATGCAGGGACTCCGAGTCCTAGAACGTCTTTGCAGGGTGCTCCAATGTGCCAAGCAGCAAGGTGCGTGCTGTCATAGGCCTGGCCGAGAGTCATGTTGCGAAGTTCACGTTATCAAGGTCGCTCCGTTCATATTGTCAGATTCATTTGCCGTATTTGAACGGTCATATGCATATTGGCTTCCATCGATAGAGCTGCACTCAGGCCCCAACGCTGCATTCACTCACCTCTGGAGTTCTATGGGCCATCTGCCAACTTAGCACCAAAATGCGCAGAATCCTTCTTCCTGAAGTGGAAGCTTGTTCCGGAACCGGTGACCGACTCTCCAAGCTGGGCCCGACAAGACCGGAGCAAAGTACAAGGTTGCACTTGATTCAGTCCATGTCAATGACGAAGCTAACCGTTCCGGTATACTGGCGGACACTAGACCCCTGCACATTGGAAATATCAGCAGGCTCGAGGCTCGCCCAGGGCATTATCGGTCTGGCGAAGTTGGCCGTGGGAGGTGCGACTGTGACATCAGTTTGTCAAGGACCAAGTACGCAGTGGTAAATTTGCAGTTATTAGTATCCCAAGGTCCGGTCGCCCATACAAACACGTCTCACGGAATACTGGCGCATGAGCAGTCTGGGCCGTAACGCAGACATTAGCAATCAATGCTCAAAAGCCACACCTAAGATGTCAGGTATATGATGAAGCGCCGGAGGGGGGCAGGTGGATAAGTGTAGCTTTCTGCTAAGAATCAACATCTGCAAGAATAGTCTCATGACGCACCTTGATGAGTGGTTCAAGCTATCAATTGGCTAAATGCGATTTAGATGTCTCACAAGACGCGGCAATGAATGCGTTGATGGCAGCACAGTGTCGTATGGAGCTGATGTTGTTACGCAGACAACAGCAGCTCCATACGAGCCGAGGGCTGTAGCTATGCGCATTCAATGTCGCTAGAGTCAAATATCTGATATCCTTCAGATCTAGACGAGGAAGTCCGGGAAGGATTTTTGTGACAGCTACAACAACAGCAAGATTTGTCAACTCATATCAATGAAAAAGACAAGTAATCAAGACTTAGGTAAGGCCGCAGAGTACTCTACGCGCTCATGTATGCTATTTTCAGCCCCAGCCGGCGTGGTATGTTGTAATGCGACCTGCGGCTGAAGAATTTTGGTTTCAAGAACGATTCATCCTAGGCAATATGAATGGATCAGGACGGTGCCGGTAAAGGAAAGATCGAAGAACAAGTGTCAACGACTCTGTTCTCTTCGAGAATATGAGAAGTTGTGACTCAGTCTGCGAAGGATATCGTGCGGCGCGTGATGGACGAGAGCGGAGAGAGGGAAAGAAGAAAATGAGCAAAGGACAACATGCCCCCACTGACTCAATGACTCGACACGGTGATGGGGCGCCGGGCGGAAGACATCCGAGTCAGCACGGACGCGACCGACCAAACTGATGAGATTCAAAAACAGTAATTGTTTCACGAGAGCAACCTCCAGTATGTGTACCTAGACGCTGTGTGTATACCTGTCTGCCACTACAGACAGAGACACTTATTCACCGCGTTGGAATAGCGACACCTGCCCGCCGCGTTGGGCAGCGATATTGCTCTGCCGTGTCCAGGACTACACACCGACCTGCCGTATCGCAAGCTTCGGGCATGAGTAAGCATAGCTGTCAGCGGGCATACAGGTGGCTCTTGATGACTTGACGCTGGCTCTCAAAAGTCATTGTCCCCGAGGGTATACCCGAGGTCTTTAATGTCCAACGTCCTCTTTCCTATCTAGGCAATGGAACGATGATGTTGATGATGGCCCGGGATGCTCCGTCGGAAATTTCCATTACCATCGAAAGGCTGTTTGATTTCAACGACACAAGCGACACTCAGCTGGGGCTCTCCCAGCTCTCGTCCTGACCGTCGTCTCCTGCTCGCCCGTCGGTACGTCGCCTCTCGCCCGTGTTTTAGTGTACAATTATTGTTTGTCTACCTACCTTCCCTCCTTTGCATATTAGTACCTATTCGCGTCTTCCTGTAGTCTCGCAAACTCGAATTGACTTGTGTTAGCCGGCCGCGGACATACCCATTACCGGCTGAGCCTCGCTAAAAGCGTCGCCGCACGAGCCTTGAAACTACAAGTGTGCGAATGGTGCAGGTTGGTCGACTCAATGTCTAGCGCGTGCAGCGCGCAGGGGGTCACGTGGAGGCGAGCTACGCGACAAGAATGCCTCCGTCCGACGGCAGATAGCTAAAGGCGATTCACGGCTCACCTCTATTGAGACCTCTTCTACCTCGGTGATGCCTGTTAGTCTCTAGAGATTATAACACTACACACAGCCATCTGCGGGCTCTATTTTATATACTCGCTCTGAGAACGATGACTTCCAGACTCAAGAGGAAACTAAACGACCTTGGAGTCGACTCTTCCAGCTCCAAAGCCAATGAGTCTTTCTGTCTTGTGCGCCTGTCTATGTGCCTGCTACGTGCGAGAGTCGCAGTTTCTCATTTTCGCTTGCAGATAGGAACGCCACTACCTCCACTCGAGAAATCGAAGGACACTGGAGAATTTGTACCATTATGGAAGCAGGAGGTGAGATCCAATGTATTACTCTTACGTCTTGCAGTAATTAATAGGACCTATGCGTTAGGTGAGAGACGAGAAGGGGCGTCGCCGACTTCACGGCGCCTTTACTGGTGGATTTTCAGCTGGCTACTTCAACACCGTCGGCTCTCAGGAAGGCATGTATACCCTTTTTGCTGTTTCCCGTTTATGACTTCATAGTGCCTCAGGATGGACGCCCTCCACGTTCATCTCGTCGCGCGGCGACCGCGCGAAGGCCAAGACAGCTCGCCCAGAAGACTTCATGGATGAGGAGGACCTTGCTGAGCTGCAGGAGGGTCGTAAGCTTGTTGATGAACACGACGAGATGGACTTTGGTGGGACGGAGGCGGAGTTGCGACGGCGGGCGGGCGTAGCAGGGGACGATGCAGAGAAAGAGTGCGCGCACCTCGCTATCCTATGTCTGTGTCAACTAACATTATCCATATCTTAGTCCAATCACTGCCGCTCTTGAGGCCTCGCTCGCGCCTGCGCCCAAAGACTCTGTCGGGGCGAGGATTTTGAAGAAGATGGGTTGGCGTGTAGGCCAGGGTATTGGTCCACGGCTTACATACGCTCAACGCAAGGCTCAGGAGGCAGGGATTTCGGATTCGTGGAAGGAGACCGAGGGCGGCGAGGAAGATGAGGAAGCGAAGAAGCATTTATACCCACGGCAGGACACACCTGTGTTGCTTGCTTCACGCAAAGGTAATTTCCACGGGCTGGGGTACGTACCGGGTATGCGCCTTGAGGAAAGTGTAGGTGGTGGCCGCGAGATTGCACGAGACAAAGGACCTCGGATATCAGGTAAGAGTCGTCGCAAGGTAAGCTTAGGTGTATACGCTTAAATGTTCATCTTAGCCGGGTTTGGCCTCGGCGCACTCAATGATGCCGACGAGGATGATGTGGATATATATGATGCTGCTGCATCTCGTCAACTCCGTACAAGGATGGCGTTTGATGCTGCAGATGAGGATGACAGTCATTTGATTGCGATGGGGTCTTCGAGCACAAGGTCTACTGCCGGTAGGCAACAATCGGTATGCACACTCTGAGTTTCTCCAGAAGAAAGTGTACTGACGCATATTTGGACAAGAGAGTATCGTCGACTGCAGGGACCCAGACTTTCAACGATGGCAGACTTGTTTTGAAGGGATTCGTCTTGTCGGATATGCCTGTTGCTGAAGATCGATGGTACGAATAACTAAGAGTGTTCATAGCGATGGGTTGGTTGATATCCTCGCGTTGCCAGGTTCCCTATTCCTGATGTCCCAAATGGCTGGACGCCTAACCCTCGGCGTGTCTGGAACCAGCAGAAAAACAAGGAGAATGAAGAGGATGGGAGAATGGATCACCTTCCACCTCCAAAGTCGGAACCGAAGACCCATGCAGAGTGGAAGGGTAGCTTTATGTCTGCTGACGAGGTAAGGTCGCGCCATGATTCAAACTAGAGCACATTAATCACAGCGAAAATTCAGAGGGGTTCTTTGCTTGGCGAAACACCTTTACCATCCAAGCCGCGCTCTGTGTTTGAGTATATATCTCAAAAGGATCGAGAACGGCTACAAAACATCAAGAATGCTGTTCCTCGTCCATCTCCTATTGCTGCTCCTGTTCCACTTGCTAACGCTGCTCCACCCCTTACACCCACACCCTCTGCGCATACTCGAGACGAGATTAATATTCCTTACCTACACCCTTCGGTCGCTAAGGCTGCACTGCAAGGATTCCAGCCTTTCGCTGCAGATCCAGTAAAGCAGTCGCGGTATACCGCGTTCCTGAATTTTCAGTCCACTCGCGGCTCGGTAGTACCGGGTGCGCCTAATGCAGGGTTCGACATTGGGCCGCTCCCGGACCAGAACGTCGAGCAGTTCAACAAGGAGCTAGACGACTATGCAAAGGCGGCGACCGTGTTTAAGCCGCTTTCAGGCGCAATGGCAGGCCGTTTTCGGAGCGCTGCTATTGTCGAGATCGGTCCGACCGTAGTCGAAGGTCTCTATCAACCTGGTCCCTCGGTCCCTCAGACTGAAGGGGAGCCGACGGAACAAGAGGAGAAAGAAGAAGAAGACCCGAAGATAAGCTCCGCGCGACTGGGTATGTACGGCCTGCTGACGAGGGAAACGCAACCATGGCAGCCAGCACGACTTCTGTGCAAGCGTTTTGGTGTCAAGGCTCCTGAGGTCGACACGACCGAGGCTGCTGGTGCTGCGACGGCAGATTTCGCTACACCTACCGCAGCAAGTCGGGAGACCGGGCAGTCAGATGCGGCGATGGTGGACCCTGGTGTCTCTACCTCGAATTCTACGAGTGCCGGTGCAATCACGGACGGTTTAGATCCGAAGCGGAGAGATGGGTCTCGCGATCTGGCGAATATTGGTCTGGGAGAGGACGACCAGCAAGGAAAGGATACGTTGACGTATCAGCGGCCGGCGATGGATATCTTCAAAGCAATATTCGCAAGTGACGATGAGGACAGTGACGATGACACCGCTGAACATGATGATGCGCCCGAACCAAAGGGCGAGCCTGCCAGTCTCTCTAGCGGCGTCGATCAGAACAGGACTCAGACCAAAATTGAGCAGGTGGCCCTGGAACTGACTGCTGGGGACGTCGCAATACCTTCGTATGCGCCAGGACAGGAAAATTCAGATAAAGTTGACTTGACATCTTTCAAGCCTACCTTCGTTCCTCGATCGGAGCGCGAAAGTCGTAATGAAAAGAGTAAAGGAACAAAGAACAAGGATAAAGACAAGAGGAAGAAAGGGACCAGTAAGATCGCTCTAATGTCATTTGCAGACGAGGAAACGTTTGGGCCCGATTTCAGCGCACCTCAAATACATCGGGAAAAAAAGGAGAAAGGCAGGGACAGGAAGAGACAGAAGCGAAAAGGGAAGGGGAGGAATGAAGACGATGAAGACGATAGCATGTGGGTAGAAGCCCCGGCCCCTGAGACTGTGAAGAACTTGCCTTTGGATTCGCCATCTGACCCCCTTGCGAACAACTATACCACAACTACTGAAACATCGTCAGGTGGACTCGATGCAAACGGAGAAGCGAAGCCGCCAAGAGGGCGAAAGAGAGCAATAGACTTCATGTAGCATGCATGATACCTGTCGTTGTATCGGTAGTATCTATCTATTCCTCATCTTCACTGTCATCACAAGAGCTGTTTACGGCACCTCCGTTCTGCTCATCAAGAATTTCTTCCTCTAGTGCATTTTCATCGACATCGCTATCTTCATCGTCACGTTTTCGTTTACCGTTGATATTTGCATCGTCCACTACCTCTCCGTCGGCCATTGTGAGACATGTCAATCGTGATCCTTTTGTGTCATACTCGGCGATAGCATCTAACTGAATCTTGCCCTCCGTTGAGACGGGCACGCTTGCCATGTCGTATAAGCGAACTCTGCCGTCTGATGATATCGTGCTGACGAGAGTTGTCCATGATCGTATCGTATACGCGGTCGGTAAAGATACGGAAAGCACTTCCACTGCTTTAACTCTGCAAGGACGCGGATGAGACTCATGCATGAAGGGAAAATGTCCTGACGGACCTGTTTGTATGCCCAATCATCTCTGCGATGATATTGGGAATAACTGTTTTATCAGAGGAAACATCATAAACAGAAACTTTCTTGTCCTCGGCTGCCACGAGTAAAACTTCGCCGTTGCCAACAACTCGCCTACAAAACCGGACGTCATGCAAGCGCGAAGGATGCGTTATAGAATGTAGGAGTGTCATATCCTGCTCGCACGTCGGCTAACCCATTCAGTGCACGATACATGGAGAGCACGCACGATAGAGTAAATATCCATAGTTGACTGAGACAGCACGACGAATAATGATCCATCAATCGACCACCGCACGACTTCCGCCTCTACATCCCTCGTCAGGATAAACTCATGGACATGTCTAGTGGCCTTACCTTTCCCGAGCTTCGTACTAGCTGATCCTTTCCCCCGCATGAGATCCCACATTCGTAATGTCTTGTCCTTGCCAACGCTCAGCGCAACTTTGCCCGACGGATGGACTGCCAGTGAATTGACACGTCCCTTGTGACCCTTCAACACACGAAGTACCGCCCAATCACGAGCGTGGAAGAGACATATTGTGCCGTCTTCTGAAGCAGATAAGAGATGAGAGCGAGAAGGAAACTCAAGGTGTGTTATAGACCCTGAACAGCGCTAGATCATTTGAAAGAATAGTCAGATGGATAGATGCATACATACCTTCATGCTGCATCAAGCCTCCAATTTCTTTCCTCCTCCGGAGGTCCCATACCTTGATGATCTCATCTCCACTCCCTGTCGCGAGCCATTTCCCACCCTGTGGAGAAGCCGCTATTGCGCGCACTGATGAAAGGTGAGCAGGAAATATGAAAACCGGCTTTAGGCTAAATTTATAGCTCAGGCCTTCCACGGAGCTTGAAGCTTCCAATCCGTACAACAATTTTTCATACGAGCCCGCTACGATCTTGAACGCTAAAGGAAATGACGGTCTATCGGCTGCTTGGGGAGATGAAACTACGCGTTCTCTTCCTTTTCCCTTGTCTATTTTTTGTTGGTCTCGGAGTATTCTCTCTCCTTTTGGCTGCGTAAGGGCTGCAGGATGTTGCCTCGGGGCCTTCTCGAGGCGAAGAACTCTTGATCGTTTACTTGGACGAGATACCATGGAAGCAATAAAGTGGGGGAGGCGAAAAGTCAAGCCAAATTATAAACGTTGACGGCTAGTCGAACTCTATGCATTTTTACTTGTTTTGGGAACGCACTACGTAGTTTGTCATTGTTAAGATCGGAAGCTCTTGGACAACAACTCTAAACAATGCGTCACGATCACCGCCGCCACCTCTCGAGCGGACTACGGGTCGATGTTGCACCGTGCTCGATATCCTCATTGTAAATGCTCATACGCTCGCTCAAAAACTCGATACCTTGATGTCCGCCACTCCTCTTGGGCGTCTTCAATTCGCGATAGAAATGCTAGTGTCAACGCGCTCGTCCATGTCCCGGCTTGTCATGGAGGCAAAATCGACCTGCAGGGCGCTTTCTCCGTAGCAGTAAAGGACAACATATGCACCTCTTCAATGCCGACGACCTGTTCTTCCGCTATCCTACGAAATTTTGTCTCGCCATTTGATGCGACTGTAGTGCAACTATTGCAGGCTGCTGGCGCACAAGTCGTGGGCAAATCTAACTGTGATGAGTTTGGCATGGGGTATGTTCCTAGTCTTCGCGTCTCAGAAGTTAGTAAAACGTTGTAATCCAGCTCTCTAAACACCTATTCCATATACGGACCTGTGGTGAATCCATACCAAGCACCAACCAGTCCTGAATCTTGGGCAGTTCGCGAACGGCGCTCTGCCGGTGGGAGCTCCGGTGGAAGCGCGGCGGCTGTAGCGGCGGGGATGTGCGATATGTAAGGCTGTGTTATTTTATGTTCACATCACATGAATGATGAACAATATCTCCAAGCAAGTGCTCTAGCCACTGATACTGGCGGCTCAATACGACTACCTGCATCATATTGTGGTGTCGTTGGACTGAAACCGTCGTACGGAATCGTGAGCAGGTGGAGCCATCTGCAAATTCCCCATGGATACCCACTGACAACGGAGCGCGGGATATCCCAGATGGGGGGTCGTATCGTATGCCGACAGCTTGGACTGTGTTGGTGTCCTGGCGCGGACAGCACAGGACGTGAAGAAAGCATTTGGTGAATGCTCTGCCTTCCCATTGATCCATTTTTGTACTTACCTGTTCTTCAGACGTGCTCAACGTGTATGATGATAAAGACCCTACGGCCTCTCGGCCCGACGTGCGGCGCAGGGCTTCTGAAGCCGTCCAGAAGTCCCATTGGAATGCGGAGGATGGTCTTACCGGGCTACGAATAGGCGTGCCTCAGGTTATTTGCCTCTGAACGCAAGCTACCTTGTTCCGAGACTAACCTTTCCATGACAGGAATACTTCCCCGCTGAATTGTTGCAAAGCACGCTAACACCGGTCCGCAGGATGCTCGAAAACCTAGCATCGCGCGGGGCAGCCATTATTCCTGTGTCCCTTCCATCCACTAGATTCGCATTGAGTGCCTATTATGTGATCTCGAGTGCGGAGGCGAGTAGCAACATGGCCAGATATGACGGAATACAATTTGGTGAGCTGATTCAGAATGAATGATGTGCCTGGTCATGTAATACTTTCATTAGGAAGTTACGTCGAGCCTCCTGCCGGAACTAACAAAGCCAAGACCAGCAACGTGTACGCGTACACTCGAGCCGCTGGCTTTGGCCCAGAAGTTCAGAGGCGGATTTTGCTCGGGACGTACGCGCTGACTGCAGAGTAAGATAGTTGTCATTACTCTACGTGCCAAGCTCATCGAGTCGCGATAATTAGCGCATTTGACAATTATTTTCTTCAAGCCCAGCGGGTGAGAAAGCTCGTGCGAGCCGACTTCAACCGGGTCTTTTCCGTACCGAATGTGCTATTCTCTACTCCCAGCCTGCCATCAGACGCGGGTGTGCATGTCCTCCTTCATCCATCAACAATACGGACGGCGCCCCGTCTTCCGTTGACGGCGAACCAAACACGGTGTAACAATGAAGACACACTGGACGCGTATGTTCAGGACGTTTTGACGGTCCCTGCGTCTTTAGCGGGCTTGCCCGCGATGAGCATTCCAGCTGGTTTGGGAGAAGATGGTTGGCCAGTAGGAGTCAGCATAGTAGGCCAGTGGGGGTGCGATGATATGGTGCTGGAGGTCGGTAGCCTATGTGCACAACTTCCAGGGTGCTAGGCGCCTGAGGATGAGACTAGAAGATTGAAATGCAGATCCCGCGTAGAAGTGAGTCATCATCGTCCATTAACGTTTTAGATTAGCCTACATTCCCATCTAAGTTGAAGGACACGGAAAATAATGTAATGGTGCGCTGATGGTGTTGATATAAATACAGGAGATGATATGAAAACAGTAAATAAATGGTGTCACATAGCAATACAGAGAGCTCCATGATAGTGGTACTAAATTACTAGAAGTTGAACATCTCGGATGGGAATCCGGTCTCCTGCGAAAAATGATCGACCCCGTCGAGCATACCAGTTTCATGCATGAGCGACATCCACTGATCGCTCATGATGACATCCCCGTTGGCAAACGGGGGCACATCGAACCCACCGGAGACCATTTGCATGTTAACGTCTTGTCCGAATGTCGGTGGTGGTTGATATTGAGGATTGCCGAGCAAGCTACCAAGGAAGTCCAGATCCGTATGAGGAAGTTGCTCGTCTAGCTGAGGTGGGACGGGAAGAGGCATGGACATGTGTTCCATCACTGGTGGGGGGCATGCTTGAATCATCTGCTCCAGTCCCAGTTGCGTCATGTCCCCTGTTTGTAACGGAGGCTGCGACGGCACTTGTGACAGATACATCATCAGCGAGGGGTGAAGCTCGGGAGGTGTAGAGGTTGCTTCGCTATCACTTGGCGTAGATACTTGACATGATGACGACGACGAAGGAGGAGATGGGGCATGCTGACTTGATGAGCTTGATTCGCGGGGGCTTGATTGAGATTGAGGCAGAGATGGGGAACGCTGAGAAGTGCGTTGCATGCGCGACTTGAATTTGGACTTGGTTGGCAAGATCCGCGTCTGACCACCGAAGATTGCCAGGGCGTCCTTGTAGTAATATTCTTCAGGTGGCTGCAGCTTGAAATCACCCGATGGGTTCGTGCGTTTGTCGCGGTATAGCCGGAATGCCTCATTCGCCCGCTCCTTCAGCTTGAGCAGATACGGCTATCAAACCAGTGGAGTTAGATCTGACATAACCATACATGAAGAAAATGACAGACCAGCCCCTGCCTAGCGCGAAGAGATTGCGAAGCACCCTTTTGAAATACCGAAACAGCTAGATCCAGTTCTACTAAACCGCTAGGTGCCAGACTCGAATGTGGCAATCTCGATATCGTCGCACCAATGATCACCTGTAAGAGCTTGGGTAAGTATAATTGAGGGTCGGTGTAAGCCACAGACTTGCCGCCGCCGAGAATGCGTGCGTCCACATACTCCAGAAGCGTCCGCAAAGTTCCCCGCATCGTTCATGATGATGCACAAAGGACTTCAGCAAGATGGATGCACAACGATTCGCCGCTAAGAATGAAGGCGCATATGGACTTGATAGGGGACTGGTAGGATTTTCCAGAAGAGCCTGAGCAAAATATGTCTTGTGAATATGGATCATGGCTAGATCCAGGAGCACGTTAGAAATTGGTAAGATAAAATGTTTCCAGTGCGACACTCAACTGAGCGAGCGGAAGTGAGATAGCATGTAACTCTTCATGCAAAGCGCCGGATTATTGTAATCGTCGTCGTCTGGCCTAAGATAGAGCTTTACAGGAGGCAGCGTCATTTGCCGAATCCTCCGATCAAGGTCAAGAACCGTCGCATAACTGGGAGCTTTCGCTGAAAGCATAGCCTCTGCGATGGGAAAATATATATCCTTAAAAAATGTTAATTTGAAATGGGAGTCTATTGAAAAAGATGCATGAGTGACCATAATGGCCTGGAAGTAAAACAGGAACGCACATCCTTGCATTGTATCACCGTTCTCGGCGACTTCCTCCTCGTCATCGCAGGGGAACTCACAGTCAATCTGGGAGAGTGTCATAGATGGAGGACGTCCCAACGCTATGCACTAAATAATGCAGTCAATCTTCGAGTATCATGGCGAAGACATCAAGACGTACATGAAGTGTCTCAAACATGAACATCTCCCAAAACATATTTCTGCGCCGTTGGACGCTCTTTTCGCTGAGTTCCCACTGTCTACTATCACGATCTGTGGCATACCATTAGCGCGCATCCATCAAACTTCTCTGAATACCCACGGAGCCCAATCTGATTCACACATTAATATCAGCTTATCGTATCGCGACGTGGGAAGCTATGTAAACATACACTTTGTGCCAACTTCATAGCAGTAGAGGCCAGCGTCCAAGCGCTCTCTACACTATATCGCCGAGTACAAACACTGTGGTATCCCGCCATCAAGGCAACCGCTTCGACAGTTTCAATTTCAGGGGAATCAAGTATTGACCTCAAAGATAAGGCGGCACGACCAAGTCGATAGTACTTCTCTGCCTCAGGACTGCACGGCGGTAGGGTTAGATCCACAAGAGCGCCTGTTGCCAGAACTAAGAATAAGACAGCGAGACGATGGGGACAACGGCGAGATTCAGGCGAAGAGGGCCGGTAACCTGCTCTTCCTCGTGATGATTCATCCTTGACCGAGTTGTAAATAGGAATGAGGATGTCGTCAATGATTTCATCGCGTTTCATGGGCCTATGCCACCAAGTGATGTGAGCAATATACGCCTCGCAAAGCGCCCAAGCCCGAGGTTGTGGAGGCAGCTGGTCTTCTAATTGATCCATGATAGAGTCATACCCGTCCTCGACAATAGCTAAAGGGAAGGTAAGGTCCAGATTTTTCAGCTCATTCGGTAGTGATATGTCGTCACGGTCATCAGAATCGCTATCGGCATCGAGGGGGATATTCACCTGTCAAACAAGAAGGTTACCAGAGCCGAAAACAAATGATACCCGTGTACTTGCCAGAAACAGCGACTGCCAACAGCTCAGTATCAATGTCTCCAATGCAAATCGCAATGCTGCGTACCTCAGATGCGCCCATGCGGCCGTAGTACTTCGTCTCTCCATGGTCACCAACAGTCAGCGTGCCGAGGGCATCAATCGACTGAGCGAGCGTCTCCCTCGTGTGCTCTTCGTCTACAGTCCGGCGGACTTCGGGTCCGAACTTGATAGTGAGGAGGTCGTCCCGTAAAAGCGGATGCCTTTCGTTAGAGACACCTGCCTGGAATAGAGCGATGGAATCTTCCAACTGTCGTATTCGTTCACTCATTTCGGAAATTTTTCGATGCAGTTGTTCGGTATCCGCCAGGACAAATCTGAACCGACTCGTCTGAAAATGACATGTGAAGCGAATAATACGACATACCTCGTCCCCTGTCCTGCAGACAGGCTACCTAGATATGATATGATTCATTCCGAAGTGCATAGTAGAGAGATACATTCTAGCTTACCGTTTGGACAGATGGTGGTGCATCCCCTACGAACACAGGATCCACAGGGGATCTTTTTGTCGCATTTCAGTTTCAGACTATATGCGGTATAAGATGTCTTCTCCCATGTCGAGCAAAGCCACATACCGTCTACACTCGGCACACGAGATCTCTCCTCTAGCACGCTTCACTTCAACGTCTTCGTCATTGACTGTTGACTTTCGCGACGCACGGCGTGATTCAGAGCGTTCGACAGGCATGTTACGGGCGGCAGGAGCAAAGCACAGTGTAGGGTAACTCGGCTAACGACCCAATTTCTTTGTGGTTGCAATTGAAATACTGACTTTAGAAGATATGGTTATAGAGTGTATGCAACTCGCATGCCGGCGGTAGTTCAGCTCGGAGAAGTGGGGGAATACGACAAGCGGATGCCGAGGCTGAATGATGACTTTCTAGTCCTCGACCGGGCGCTTCGGGAGACATGTGCCGGATCGTCATCAGCGCTCGGACCCCGGACCCCCGTCAACTGCGGTCCCCGCCCGATCCACATAGCAGAAAAATCTCCCCGGGGTTAATCTTAAATTACATTTCCTCCGGCACCTTCGCCGGAATCTCGGCTAGAAAGGTCTTTTGAGGATAATTGGACTCCCCGAACAGCAACTCATGCACCGACACGGGCCGGAACCCACGTCACAAATATGCAAATTTTCCGAAGACAACGGAGTCATATTTGTGCGCCCTGGATGAGTCAAGCGACACCGGACATATGCCACTTCAGGCGGAATCCACGGGGTCTGGCTGCCCTTGCCCATGTTCCGACCACACGGCCGAATTTTCCGGCCCCATTGACCCCATTGACAAATCTACAACACAGCGGGACACGGCGAATGACGGAAACGATAGCGGTAGCAGACGAGAAGACCACAGAAGGATTAACAGCGGCGTGGTGCGTCCATCGTATACCATAGCTCGCTCCGGGACTCAGTATCTACCGATACATTACACACCGTCTTTTCCATAAGTATAAGATCATCCAGGAAGATCATCATCAAGAACCCAAGGAGATGCATCGTGTAGCCGCCAGTGGCGAGCGGACATTCCCTCATGTCCTTAAATTCACATCATCCAGAAATCCGGATTCGTGCATAAAGTACGCCCATTTAGCGTCAAGGCTCGCCTCTCTAGAAGCTAGTCCCAGGTCGACAAGCTCTGCTGGAGGTGCGTATGGTGCCGGGTAAACGCTTGGGGCTTCATGAGGACCCGAGTAAGGCTGAAGGTGATGACGATAGCCCTCTGAGGTCCCCATCTGTGTTTGCGGGTGAAATGGATTAGCCACAGTCGAACCTTGTTGGGACGTGGGAAGGCTAGGCTGCTGATTCCATGCGTAGTCTTGCGACTGAGGATAGCCACTTTGTCCGTACCAGTGATCCGAACCTGGAGACGGGTACACAGGCATCTGCTGTGACATCCAACTGCTATGAGACGAGCTGCCCGGAACTGGGTAGGCAAGCGTCGGATCTTGTGGTGGTGGAGCAGAAATATACGACGAGGACTGCTTAGAAGACGAAGCTTCAGACAGTGCCTGCGACGTTTGCAAATGTTGTCTCAACGGAACATCTGGTGACTGTGACTGCTTGGCAAGCCCCACCCGCATTGTACCCGCGAAGATTTCCAGCTCGTCGCCATCGTCACCCTCAGTTTTCACACTGTAAGACACACTGTCTATCACAGGAGGCCGCGATGGGTGGGGCTGGGCAGCTGTCATAGAGCAATGCGCCTTCTCTCTAAGTTTTGTGACAACGACCTGGGAAAGGAAGACTATGAGGGTTCTCATGTCAATATATAAACAACATTACTTGCCAATGCCTTCGCAGCTCGACGGCTATAACGTGCTGCCTCCGTGAACAGCTCAAAAGCCACGTGCAGCTGCGACATCGCATTCGACGCCAAGGGTGACTTCGGGCCTCGAGTGGCTACTGTTGCAAAAACGACCTGTATCACTGAATTAGCAAAGTCCTAGACGGTCGGAAGGGGTCGCCTGCTTACAGCAGCAGAAAACCCATATGTCCATACTGGCCAAATCCGCGCACACAGAATCGGATGGCGGTCATATTGAAGCCGTATGGTTGTCAGAACTGTAGACGATGCGCGATATGCTGCAAGGTAGGAGTGAGCGTATTCGCTTCTCGCCGGGTTTTGGGGATAGTCTATGATTGCTTGTGCGAAGAAACTGCGGTGGATGAAAAGTAAAACTAAGGACACGAACTGAATCAATGCACTTTGGATGTATAACCAACAAACGCACCAACTTCCCGGGAGTGAGACTTCACGAAGGATTCCATGGACGTGAACACAGGTGGAGGGTCGATGTCATCTGGAGAGTCGAGCCCTTCCACGAGAGCAATTGCTTCCGGTGAAATCTGGACGTCGCGCACGCGACGGTCGAGCTCCATGATGGTCTCATATGATGGTGGTTCCGGCGTGAGCGTCTTGGCCACAACTTCTGCGACACAGTCATATGCAAAACGTACAAAGAATGTGTTGACTGTTTACGGAAAAGTGATCCCATGAAGAGGAGATAAGTTGACGTCTCAAGGCAGAAGTTGGTCACTCACAGGCCGATTCATCAGCCTCTTCTCCTAAAATGGTCTGAGGTCGAGGGAATTTGCAGTCAATGTATTCACGGGAGAATGCCGGAGGACGACCTGAGCCAAGGCTCTGCAAAGGGTGAATTCCAGAGACTGAATTGACAACAGTGCTAACCTGCCAAGCGTCCGCTGCGAAAATATTCCAGAACGCTGCGCGGCGCCTATTTACGACGTCCTCAGGCAAATTCCACCGGGCGCAGTCTCGATCTTTCGCGCACATGGGTCAGAGTCGAAATGCGCAGCATAAGAATCATACTCACGCAGACCAATCTTGGTATAGGCGCTGTTAGTGACTAAGTGCTTCACAAGAGCGAATATAACTTACACTTTGCGAGACTGCAGCAGCGAGAGAGATAGTGCCCCACGACATCTCCATACTAATTTCTCCGGGTCCATTCCCACCCATCGCGTCATTGATACTGGACAGATGAAGTGCCTGTATCGTCGTCACTCCGGGGGTTGCCCAGACAGACTGTAGTCCGATAGCTGCCCGACCCAGCTGACCATAGTGTTCGGCTTCCTTGTCCGCGTTGTGCGGCTCCCAATCGAAGTCTACTCGGGCGCCTATCGCAAAGACAAACAGCAGCAGCGCTAAGTCATGAGGTCCTCCGTAGTCTGGTACCGGTGGTGAATCGCCAGCGTCTGGAATACGCCTGTAAATGAATGGAATCATCTCATCTACCACTTGCTCCTTTGAGATGCACGTAAATAGCCAAGCGACGAGATTCAAGAATTTGTCGGCGAGGGCGCAAGCCCTCTCGTATGGCGGCAGATGGCTCAGAATCAACTCGTATATCGACTGTGTCGAGCCACTGGGAGTGAAGGGAAATGCGGTGGAGAATCGGAGTAATCCATCAGGTAGGATAGGGGTTGGAGACCTGTTTGAGTCAGTTAGGTCACTATCCTCTCCGGGCGACCCGTAAGACTCGACATCCTGAAACCATCTGAGAGACGATCATTCACTACAAGCATACAACTTACAGTCAACAGATACTATTGAGGGTATCAGTATTCGAGGCGAGAAGCAAGTGAGCCCACATACCTCCGAACCCCCTGTTGGTCCAAAGAACGTCGAAGCGCCACCATCGGAGACGGATAACATCCCAAAATTGTTGAACACCAGAGACGTTGTTTCCGCCTGCTCCTGTATCGTGACGGAGTCATCTACACTATCGCTAGTTACCTGACTAGAAGCTAGCAGAGGGTGAGGCTCATTTGAGAATTTCGCCTGCAATATTGCCAGCGCATCTTCTAATTGCCGTGTCCTTTCGCTCATTTTTGCTATACGGCGATGCAGATGTTCGGTAGCAGCAAGGACGAATCTGTTGAGAAAGCATGATCAAGATCTGGTTTGAGTGATGGAGGACAGCATCCGGACCGAGTGCCTTGTCCTGTGGCGAGACTCCCTGATGCTACCTGTAAGCACCTGACTGAACGAGAACAGTACGAAACGCACCATTTGGACACAAAGAGGCGCAACCCCTGCGCTGTAGAAAGATGAGACTTAGAACGTATGAAGTTATCAGGCGCCTCGAGCCTACCTGACATGATTGACAAGGAATGGACTTGTCGCATCGTATCTGTCGCGTGCTGTAAGAATGGCACTTGAACGCAGACACGGTATGATGCAGACGCACCTTCAATCTATTGAAAGTCATGGGTGAAGTAGATGTGTCAATGAAACGCTATAGGTCCTAGAGGATCGACCTCTAGAACGGATGCGATGATCGCACCTACGGCACTCCGCGCACGAGATCTCACCTCTACTCCGCTTCAGTTCAATTTCGCGTTCATGGGTGCTATCCGACTTGCTTTCGTCCGGTTCCTTGCGTGAAGCACGACGAAGACGAGTTGCGGAATTGAGCTTCTGGGGGGGGTCAACAGGCATGGGACTGAGCAAGGATGTTGAACCCCTGGGTCGGCTCAGGGAAAGTATAGTCGATGATCTACCCCTTTCGCTCCGCAGAAATAATGTAATCTTAGATCTGCTGGCATGCAGTGACAAGCAGCTATCCTTCCGACCGGCGCGATGTTGACCCAAATCCGCGCTGCGAGAGCTTAATCTCGGCCATATATGTAAGCAGGCCATTCCTCCCGAGTCGCTTGTTGATCAGTGATCTAAGGGTTTAACCCCCGGTCCGCCGCTGGCAGGCCACCTCAACCAATAGCGAGGTCGTGCACGCCTCGTTGTTGCTGCTTATTCTGCGGAACCGGATGGTCATCTGGAGCGGTGTTGTCCAGGAAAGGGTGCCCAAACATGCGTGTGTAGTGCGTCCGGCCTGTCAACCACGGGCAATTGATGCCACACCATGGGAGTGGTATCACGAGGAGCGCCTAGAGTACCGAGCTGTCTAAGACGTTTCTCTACCCTCATTCTAAGGCCAAGTGCGACCTGCCCGACAGAAGTTCTTCGAAGTATTGAAATGTCTTCCCAAAAGGACAGCGGAGATTGTAGCCTAAGGTTTATACGAACTCGAGTACTTCCTTTATTTTATAAAGTAGCACCCCATCTCCAAGCTGATGACTCGAAAACACCATCCATCCGACTCTGTTTGAAATTCAACTCTGAGGGAAAGGCTTCTACCTAAAGCTGCAATCAAACGTCAATCGGAGTTTCCAGCCGGCTTCCCAACCCTCATCAGAAGCGATGCTAGCATTGCGATTGCGGCGATTCGCACTAATCCAAGTTTAACCGCCGCATTATGTCTGCTCACGACCGCTTGGATGCACACCACATAATGCATACTAGTCGTGGTGCATGGGTAAGTGGTGACGGGGGTAGTATTCGCGAAGGAGTGTCACCACTTTCTTAAACAACCCGAACACGACCTAGGACATGTATTGTCGTGTCAACAACGGGATCTACACATTTATAATATTAGCTTCAGACTTCAGCAAGGGTGATATGGTCCCGTCCCCAGACGTGTCTTCGGACACGTCTGGGGACGAGACCAGGGTGATATACATAGTATGTGATACTCACTACGTAAGACCACATTGAAAATTGCATCGTGCTGTGTACGTGTATTTGCGATAACACTGTATCTCGCGTACCAATCATCCGTGTAATCGAAGTCTACAACGAACGCCATGTGTAAAACCTCGTTGCTGCTTTGCATCAATACAGTGACATCTTCAAGCAATAGGCGCTTGGAAGCTCAGCGGCTCGCATGGAATTCAATGCTAATCAAAGTCGGCATCTGATCTACGCATCAGAAAACTGGGCTATCATTTGCATCATGTACTCACTTACATGATACTTCCAGGGATGATGCGACCCTGTTGTATACTCAATCAATAGGATGAGTGTGAGAATACACCAGGTCTCAAACAATACCAGGTGAGGCTCATACAACATTGAGTTTCATTGAGGTTACAACGGACATAATAAATACTATACTCATCCTGTCAATATTTCAAGTTCCAATGGGCAAATCAAGCCCATGCCCACAGCAGGTGGTAAGAGGGCGGGAAACAACAGACATCTACTTGTCCACGCGAAGCCCATAGAAGATAGAAGTGCCATCCGCATCAAAGCATGCCGTCACGTAGAATAAAAACCAGAGTCGCTGAAACACTCAGCGGGGTTAGATGGGGTCTGGAGTCTCACAGCATCTGGAAAGAAGAGCATACAACTGAATATCCCCGGATAATTCACGGAAAATAAGAGGCTCACTAAAGTACGTGTGGGCTAATGCTTCCGCGGCGGTCAGGCGTTCTTGATGATCATACCGCAGCAGTTTGTCTATGAGGTCGAGAGCGTCGACAGAAGCTGTTGAACGATTCTCTGCAGTGATAAAGCGCGTCCATGGCTGTCTTACAAAGCTAGTAGCCGGTCGATCAGCTATTCATCCTAACAACCTACTAACAATGTTCACACCAACCTCGCGTATCTATCTGGAGCTTCCGTCCTGATGTACAATTCGTACGTTTGTAGATATTGTTCCAGGCCATTGGTCCCCAGCACTTTTGTAATCTTCAATAGTTGATCATCATTGTCCCTTCCCCGAAAGAAATATTCCTTGCGAAATACCTGTGCACGTATGATGAATAAGGGTTTATAATTGGAAAGTAGAGAGCACACCATCGATGCCAATAAACAGCCTACACACCACATGTCTAGACTGTAATCGTACAATGTGTATCCGAGCAACAACTCCGGTGACTTGTAATATCTCGTGCCGACACGAGGACTACATTCAACTCCAGGGTGATAGAACTCGGCCAGGCCCCAATCAATAAGCCTCAGCTGAAAATCATACATTGACATGCGTTGTGAATGTAATGCAAAGGAAACCTACATTGCCACTTTCACGATTGAACATGATGTTTCCTGGCTTGACATCTCGATGCATGATTCCCCGTTCATGAATGAAGTCCAGAGCCTATCAATAACAGTGCGTAAGGTTGCCAATGAATGTCTCAAATTTAGAGAAACCTTACACGCAACAGTTGGAACACGTAATGCTTTACCTCCAGCTCGCTCAACGAGTTATAGAGCTCCTTCCAATCCGTATTCTCTACATACTCCATAATCAAGCTATGAGAGCGGGATGGTGGGTCATGTACGACGTCCAAAAGACCGACAATATTAGGGCCACCAGAGAGATTTCGCAAAATCTTGATCTCGCGTTTTATCTTCTTCTTTGCGACTGGCTTGAGGACCTTGATGACAACGGCCTCTTCATTGGATAAATCATTCCCTTCGAAGACCTAAAGCAATTGTGATTAGGTGCATAAGACAGTCGTGAAACTGGTACCTCAGAGTACCTTCCACCGCCAATCCGCCTAGTAATCTCATAGCGATCCGGTACGTTCCACTCTATCTTCAACTTTTCTGTTTACTTTCATCAAAACTGCACCTGCACGCATCAGGACGTGCTTGGCTCACCATAATCGTACCAGTCCGGACCCAACAGAGCATTCACGTTGGCGTGAACACGAGCCATTGTATTCCGACAGTGCTGGCCCCGTCTTGTAGCTGGGGAACAGCTTCTAAAGGTTTATGTCTACAGTGTGCCCACTTATAGGCTTGTCAATGGGATGGATCACCTACACGGCTTATCATAGCCAAGGCATCGCTGTGCTTGCCTCAAGACCCGGGGCGCGGCGACAACCTCGACATGTTTGTTCCCGGGGGCAGCGCCTAATATGGAGACTGGGAACTAGTCTACAACACGAGGATTTTCCGGTTTGGGAAGGTCATTCACAAGTTAGCCTCCAGGCGGCCTCCACCGAGTCTCACTAAGCCTCGAGGTACGTACTCGAAAAACTTATAGCATGACATCGCTACAGCATCTTTGCACATTCTTAGACACTTAGACAGAAGGGTACTGGGCGGCTCGCTGAAAGCTTTTGTTGCCCGTTCAGACAGTCCGCTTTACAACTTTACTTTCTTCAAGTCGTATACCGCGGGGCGCGACCTTGAGAACAAGCTCTCTGCGTGGATACCACGGGGTTGTGAAATGAGCTCCAGGTTGCAGCACGCTATTAATTAGCCCGACGCTCTTGGAATATAATCCAGCGCGTGCCAGATCTTTCTGTCCCAAGCCCTCGACCTTACTAGATTGTCCGTCCCATTAATCATGGCCCCATATTTTGAGACCGCAAAGGTGGGATTATTCTTGCCCACTGAGAAGGATATCATACGAGATTTGATACATTCCATATGATATAGTCATTTGCCAACGTTCCTATTACGGACGAAGGGGTGGAGACTGCCTCGTTTCTGCTTGCGTCGGCCGACTTCGTAAATATGTTCGGTGCGTCTTCAATATCGCTGACCTATTGTTTATCGTTCTTATTACAATGCTCTACTTAGATCTTTTAGGCAACGGGGTATTCGGCTTCGTGCAAATGGATCTGAAGAACAATCTCGCGGTATGATTAGTCTATTGCATTACGTCCACATAGATTGATGCCTCGACAGGGTGTTCGTGATAGATATGAGGCGAACGTTTCCGGGTCAGCGACGCTCGAGCAGCTAGTAGTTTGTGAAGCGCGTCAAGGCCAGCGTCATGGCACTGCCTGTTTAGTGCGACTCATTCGGCAAGTTCATCTTCTAATTCCACATTCGTGATAAAATATGCCATTCTCATGCGCTCATTTATTCGGACAACCTCATATTTGTCATCTCTAGCGGACTTCTGTTCACATGTCAAGCACTACAGAATATGCAGAATGATAGGTCTTCGGAGTTACATATTTGCTTCAAGCGATCATATGACGCCGTTCTGAAGCATCACCACACCTTCATAATTCGTTCGGCTGTCTCTGTACGTTTCAATCAACATTCATCTGTCTGGACTCATTCTGATGCCTTGTAAACCTTCAATTCCCGCCCTTCACGCTTCTATCGGACTATCGACGATCTGCGATGGAAATAAGGTGGCGATCAGAGCGGTTCCCTATCGTGCCGACTTTTATAATCGCATTACTCAGGGAGGCTCTCATGAAACGTTTGACGTCGAGTTAGCCAAATGGCTTGTCGGTCTGGAAGTAATTGTGAAGCGACTGAAGAGTTTCCTCGAAGAAGGAGGGTATGGAAGAGTATAGTAGTAGCACTCATGGTTATAATTTACCTGGTCCAAAAAATCCGACTGTCTTAGCGGAACATATGCATACCTTAGTGTGTTCATCGAGAGATCCGATGCCGGAGGATATCTCAGTTTTCTCCGGCGACGAATTTGGGCCACCTGAAGCTTAAGTAGGTCGATGACTGCTGCCAAGGAGTCCTTGAAGAGTCGTGAGTCACTACTATTACCATTCACGCCAGCAGGGAACTTCAAGACAGTGCAATCTATCATCCTTCGGACCACCGACATCATGCGTCTCAGGATGTAGAGCTGCTCGACTGTCATTTGCCAGTACTTCAAGTTAAGGATCAAGAACATGCAACAGGACTCACGCTTTTCCGGAACAATCTTCGGAGTGAGTGGAAGTCGCGATTTTTTATGACCTAGGTAGATGATGGTGAATCAAAATGAGCAGAAAGCAGTATTGAGAGTCCAGTTGCAGCCACAGGCATGAAATACCATCGGATGAACGCTCGGTTATAAGCATCCGCATGGGGTGAGCGCCACTGACTCAGACGTATTCGCAGACATAACTTTCAGCCTCAGGCTTCATCAAGTGTATGGGCTGTCGTGTGACATGTTTCGGCCTACTACCACTAGAAAGGAAACGATATGTCGAGTGAAGCGAACTGAAAAGTAGATCTCGTATGGTGCGACCGCACAAGAGGAGCATCAGAGCGAGATGTCCCGGAATATATTTCTGCGAACACTTCCTGGATAGGAATTTCCTCCCCGTATGATATTGATAGAAGACAGCCGTGTGTCTCGGCTACCGGAGCAAAAGTGACAAATCGTGGTGAGAGGAAACGGAAATACCAAACGAGCTTATTTTATATCAGCCGCAACATATGAATTGGTGCCACACCCATTCTTCGCATGATGCACTGTCTGGACTGCAAATTGTGCGGACATGATCGTTGCTGTTTGTCTTGACGGTGATAGACCACGGCGGCTCGCGACGGGCTGCAGGGTCATTGCACGCGAACAATATGCCAAAGTAGCACATGGTTCCGATGTCGAATCAGGAGATTTGCCATTTTTGTACATGAAGCGCCTGATTTGGGATTTTGATTTCAGTCCTGGGAATGTTTCGTCTTCTGTTTTGCGGAATTCCGGGCATTCTAATTCAAATGTTTTCGCTTCTTTGTTGTGTTCATATATTGTATCTGCTGAGCCCGACCTTCCACGTCAACCCCCCCTAAAACACACCTCCCTCCCCCCTTTGCCCGATGTTTTCCGTCCGCAAGTGATTTTGTCCTGATACCTTAAAGTCGAGTGAAATAGGTCATGGAGATTGTGTAAGATGATTTATCCAAATTATGCTGTCCGTCCGCTCACGGTAGTGCCAGCACGATGGAGAGCAGGCAACCATCCGAAGAGTCTTCAGCCACCATGTAAGTTTTTTTGACTCATATTTTGGGTTGTGAGGTGAATCGCGATGTCAGCTTACCGCAGAAGCGCAAGACGCGTGAATCGGATGATCAGCCCTCAAGGACTCATGAACAACCTGCGAACCAGGTCATAAGCGGGCTGTCAAATTCCCAGCTGTCCAAGGGCGAATACGAGACGGGTCGTGTTGTCTGCGAGGCATGCGGTGAAGGCGTGTCTTTCCGGGATGAATCTACTGGGGGGTTCACTGTCCAACACTGGGAAGCTCACCGGCTGCAATGGTGAGTATTGTCGTTTATCAATGGTGATTTGACTCCAGGAAATTATTTTGCAGCCCAAATAGTACACAGCAAACCACTGACCTTGATCCACAACTTCAAGATGTTGGCGCAGAAGTGTCTCAACCCCAGGCCAAACGGAGACGTGCCAAGCGAACGGAGGAGGAGCGAATCGAGTATCTTCGCACTGACCCATATGTTGCTCAGTTCGAGGCCTATCGCGTTTTATGCGCGTCTTGCAATAAATGGATTCGCCTGAGGCCTAACTCAACTTACTGCTCCATTCCATGGGACGCGCATCGGAAAAGCTGCCTAGCGAAGCGAGTGTAAGCCTTTATTGTGTCACATTCCTGATTTTGGGCGTATAGTAAGTCTATCATACATGACAGTGCGAAGTCAGCCTACCCAGCCGATGATCGGAAGGCTGTATTATCTACGGATCCTGCTGTACGCAAGTACGATGCGGAACGCGCGCTTTGCAATATTTGCGAAGCGTGGGTTCCTCTTGGAACTGGTAATGATACCCAGGCCATCAAGAAATGGCTAGAACACCGTTCATCTTGTCAGCAAGATGTGTCTGGTACCCCCACAAGCGTAGCTGCTTCCTCGACGTAAGTTGGCATCATCCAGCTGCGTGTCTGAACGGTACTAATTACTGACGCACGCAAAAGTATCCCCACTATTGACAGCGTTCCTCCTCCGTCGAGACATCAGTTGGCTTTGGCATCTTCCTCGTCTTTGCCTGGTCCGTCTCACCGAATACCCAGCATTAACCCTCCGCCTGTGAAGTCTGATGCCGTCTCCGACCTGCCATCTCCCACATCTTTTAAGGATCTGAACCCAACCAATTTTTTCCCCGATCATGAGCCCAGGCGTAGAAACGCGGAGCAACGAGCAGCTCAGCTGCGTGCTGACCCCCTGCTTGGCGACGTCGAACCCAACAGAGTATTTTGCAGGGTCTGCCAAAAGTGGGTACAGCTCAGACAGGACAGTTCGTATTGTGCATATCCGTGGCAACAGCATCGCAGTAAATGTCTGAAGAGACAGTGAGTTCAGGTGCTGATTGCCGCTTTCTTGTGATGCTCACGTTGGTTCGTTAGGGAAAAAAGGTCCCAAAGAGAGGCCAATCTCCCCCAGATTATAGCTGTACGGCCTGACCCCGCGTTCGAGACCGTAGTGTCTGAGCGTGAAGATGATAGTGACGATGTCGAGACAGAAGAAGGTGTTGACTCTGGGGAAGATCGGCATCGGCCTCCTCAAAAGCATGACGAACGGAGAGCAGTGGTCTTTGCCAAGGCGACACACGGTGTCGGTGCCGACCCTCGGAGAGACCGGTCATCTGTTTCTGATGCTTCAGACGGAGATGGCGATTTGGACGACCACGGTATACAGAGCCGACTTGCAGATTTAGATACACCTCTTGGAAGGTCAGCCGGTTCAATAGTGTCCTACAAAGTGCACTCCCTTACCCTCTTACAGGCTTGAGTTTACCCTCCGTTCCATCCGGCACCTATTCAGGTCCACATACAGGAAAACAGATGACTTGACTATTGCGGCACTTGTCACCTATCTTAACGCTGCAATGCCACCTGACAAACACGAAGATTTCGACACGAGCGAAGTGACTAAAGCGGCTATGACATTGCACGAGCGCGGCTGTTTTGTTTTTCAAGGCGATGTGCTGCGCCTAGTGAACTGAGGATCGTCTGTCTTACTTCCTTTCCACGACATCCTTCTCACTCCATCTTGTTCACAACATTCTTTCATCTATTGGTTGCGGCCGAGTGCGCGAAGGATTGCTTCATCGTATTGTCTCTGCTTTTCCCGCTATGTCCTACACACGAGCTGGCCGGTCGCCCTCCACCTTTGATCCGCCTGTACGCATTTGTTCGATTATTCTTGGGCAACAGCCATTTGTACACCTTTGGACGTTATTAAACTTCGCAGATTAGATTCATGTACGGAATATATACTGGCAAGGGCACTAACGACTACATACACGCGTGTCTTGTACAGTTGCAATACCATAAAATATGCAAAGTTCCAATGGCGTCACAAACTGTTCCTTTCGACAGAAGCGTTCTGAGACGTATACCATCTATTCAAGCGTCATGAAGTGCAACCGGCTGAAGTCAAAGTTGAACGAAGTATAAGTTCCGAGACCTTCTAGGGTGCTTCAATCGGGAGGTTGTGCAAGGAGCAAGTGCTCTCTGCATGACCTCCTGTGGGATCTCTTTCTGGTCCATTCACCGACATGTGACTCGGTAATGTGAAGTAACGTATATGAAATGTAGAGCTAGTACGGCTGTAGACCGTCTAATTACATAGCTGTATAACGATACGGCATGTGTTCGATCTGATGCAAAGCCTACTACACACTGAGCTCTGTGTACGTGCAGTTGGATGGAGAATGCTGACTCTGACTAGCACAGCCGTTTATATACATTTACAAATGTAGGTCATAGTTTCTTAGATTTCCTGATGACAAGATCCCTCGGTCGCAGAACAGGAGAAAATAGTCGAGGTGTCATGGCATGAATAGATTCCAGGTACAGATCCAATTTTAGAGGGAAGGGTATGTGACCTTGAAGCAGGATGTGAAATCGAATGGAATGAATGAGTGTACTATTATTATACCGGATTTGGCCACATCTGTCCGCGAGTGTCCATCGATATGTCTCGCTGGGTACGTAAAGATCATGGGGAGTCGTTCCAGGCGCTGGAATGATCAGGCCCGGTTCTGGAGGCGAGTACTTCAGAGTCGCAGTATGGTCCACATTTCCCTATTTTTCCGTCGCCAGCACCGGACAGTGACGGGCATGTATCGCGGAGACGGCTGGATGCCGTGTCAGACAACACACATTTCGCCAAATTGCGCGTCAGCTAGACTCCCAGGCCAGTCGGACTTAGAACGTGTTTTCGTTTTCGCCGAGGGCTGTCGGAAAAAGAAATTCGGAGTACGAAACCGCAGAATGCATTCTAACGAACGACAGCGGCGTTGGGAATTTAGAATGGCTGGGTACGAGCCTACGCGTCAGCCACACAGTGGTGGCCAACGCTTGGCGCCAACAATACCACGACAGCGTTCTACTATTGCTGAGACGTAACTATTAGCTGCCAGTGCGAAACTATAACTCAAAATATTTCGGTACTCAGGATCCTTGTAAGACCATACAGGGAGAAAGGAATCTAGCGATAAGAAAACGGTGGTACAGACTATTGCAACACTAACCTGCCTGGGGAATGGGCCAATTTCAGAAGGTTTGTTAGATTCATGAAGAGTCTTACACGCGACGTACCGCCAGCTATAACTCATATGAACTTATATGAGAGCGTCTGGAAAAATGGGTTGTATCGAGATTTCGACAAAGATCATGTCCGAGGATGAACAACTCGGAGGATTGCGTGTGTTGGTCGGCTGATGCCGAAGGAGGCACACTGGGCGTCTCACTGCCTGACCATCGAGTCCATTGTTCACTCTCTCCTCCTTCTCTTCCTCCTCTTCGCTTTTCTTTTTCCACTTTGTACCGTCTCCGTAGGTGATATGGGGCCACTTCTGACAGTCTCTGCCGCCCCTTTTGGATGAAAACTGGACGCGTTGTGGACACTCCTGGGCTTGCGCACTGGACATGGTATGAAGGAGCACGGTAGTTGTCGAGTATAGGGTTCGTTTACGGTGAAATCTTGAGACGCTTGACTTGTGTTAGTGCTGCCAGTTTACCGATGAGATAACTTGACACAGTATACCTTGAGCTCGAGCACTTGGCTAATGATGCCCACGATGCTGAGACACAAGAAAACAAAATAGACAACCATCCGCCGATTGAACTAAGACACAGCTCTGTTCTGGTTGAGGTAAGGGTCATGGATACAATCTTATGATTCTACATGGGTCTCAGATGATATGGTGTAGACTGTGTAAGCTGTGAGGAATTGCGATAGGAGAATGCAGAATGAAGGAGGAGCCAAGCCGATAGGACAGCGCGTCCAGTCCTCTGTCATGTTCCGTTGACTCGTGGCATCACTCTTGGGCGCGAGCATCGAAGAATTGGTTCAGGCGTTTTGTTGCGATGATCTCAATCAATCCTTAGTAATCATAAAGCTCCACTTCAATGATGAAGTAGCTTACAGCACCGTCTACATGGGCATCGCATCCTCAACTCTAGCCCTCGGTCGAGAACACTGCTTCATTTTCCGGAAGGAGCTCAGGGCGATTGCATTGCGATCGCGCGCCCTTCACGGGAGAAGACGGGAATCCTAGACGCAGAATTCTGCCACAGGCACCCTGGTATCAAGCGCAAGTCACCGTAAATCAACACGGATCCGTGAAGTAGAAGAAAGCCTCTTTACCTTGATAGAACCTGCTTATCCCCCAAAAGCATGACGCCCACTAAACTCTCCTCTGCAATGAATGGGTACTTGCGTCTGAGTGATGAATCCTGCTTTAAAAATATATTTGTCCCTGAACTTAGAGGGCATCGAAATGGGGCATGGATATGTGTGCGGCCTGACAAGATGACCGAACTGAAGCAATCAATTGAAATAATGCAGAGGGCAGTGATTGACGGCAGCGCATCTGTCACCGTCTGGTTGCCAGTCGACAGGATGCGAACCTCGGGAGACTAAGGAGATGGAACCATAACGAATTCGCCGGCCAAGACTCCGGTAAAAACACATCAGCTCGTTTTTGTGCCATGGCGCATGTGAAACGATAAGGTCATATATGACTGCAGTGTACACGCCGAGGCACTGCATCAGAATGAAGGCACCCTAGGGAGCTGGTCTGAGGTATGGATATTTGGCTCGTGCATCCGAGGGCACTTGTATGTACAAGGTAAACTGATTAGAAAGGAAGGACGGGAGATACAGGCGATCGGGACACTTGGCAAGGGGGCTCACCGGCGCCGGCGCGTCATTATGTGCGCCCACTCAATTCGATCGGTGAAATTTGTATCAACGACATGCAACA